ATTTTATCAACAAAGCTCCATTACTCAAAATGGCGGATCAAGACACTCCATGCGTTACAAATAAGCGAAAAAAACGTCGATTATCTGGCAGAAAAAAAGATCAGTTAAAGAAAGTACGCAATTCAAGTCATCAAACAGGAAAAGGCTGTAAGTGCAAACGATTTAAATGTTTTGACGCCACAACAAGAGAAGAGAGAGACTGACTCATTACTGCTTTTAATGAGCTTCAAAACAAAGATGATCAAGACACCTTTCTGTCTACACAAATTGGTGTGCTAAATGTTGCATGAAGAAGACCAAAAACAGATGGCACAGATCCAAAACCAAAAGACAAATCCTACAGTTATATGACCAAAGTTCAACGGGATGACAAAGTTGAAGAAGTAAATGTCTGTGTCAAGGGATTTATTGACATTTTTGGAATCAGTCATAAGCGAGTTAGGACAATACAAACAACACTGAAAGAAACTGGTAGGCAATCTAGATTTTTATTTTTATTATTATTATTATTATATTGTCAATTAATTTGTTGTTTTTCTCATTATGATTATATTCATGTTTATTATTATTATTATTATTACAATAATAATAATAATAAACATGAGTAGTAGTAGTAGTAATAGTAGTAGTAGTAGTAGTAGTAGTAGTAGTAGTAGTAGTAGTAGTAGTAGTAGTAGTAGTAGTAGTAGTAGTAGTAGTAGTAGTAGTAGTAGTATATGATAATGACAGACTATTCTTATAAAAGCCTGTTACAGGATTTTTACCAAAAGACAAGCGAGGGAAGCACAGCAACCATGCTCGAAAGCTGACAGTAGATATGAGAGAGCTTGTGATTGCTCATATTAGCTCTTTTAGGGAGCGTTCATCTCACTACTCACGCAAAATGTCTAGTCGCCTTTACCTGCCAGAAACACTCAACATTACGAAAATGTTTAATCTTTTTTGTGAGGAGCATCCTGGTGTTACCTTTTCATATGAGTCCTACAGAACCATATTCAACGAGAACTTTAATATTTCATTCGCGTACCCTAGGTCTGACACCTGTTCTGCCTGTGATGAGTTTCAAGCAAAAATTAGCAACATTGACTCTCAGCTTCTTGCGCGTTCTGGTGATGAAGAAGATTTACAGGCACAGAAGGCTAAACTCTTTGCAGAAAAGAAGCTTCATTAAGGCGAAGCAGAAATATTCTACAAGCGGAAAAGGGTGACAAAGAACGCATGTAAATAAGATAAAAAATTCTCTTGCAATCGCCTTTGATTTTCATAAGGAGTTTCCTGTACCAAACAAGACCACCAACAATGTATTTTATCGATGCAGCTGTCCCTGCACTCATTTAACATTCACGAGCTTGCAGGGGATAATGTGTACATCTACACATATGATGAAACAATTGGTAAACGTGGATCAGACGATGTGGCTTCAATCCTGTATCTTTTCATTAAAGAGAGTTTTCCACAGAATGTAAAGAATATTGAAATGTTTTGTGATGGTTGTGCCGGCCAAAACAAAAACTGGACAGTTTTTAGGTTCTTATATGCCCTTGTGCATCTTTGTAAAAGGTTTGACAAAGTAAAAGTAACATTTCCAATCCGACAATCTTCCTCATGATAGCAGCATGCCAAACAACCTCCATGAGGAAAAATTGGATTCGGATTCGGAGTCTTAGCCTTATCGCATCAAAATGTTGTAAAAAAAAACTCAATCACTATCAATAGTAATGATTTTTTTGTAATAAACAAGTAAGAAAAAACTGCTTTGCTATGGTGTGTCCATATTCGAATAATCAATCGTACAGGCATATAAAAAAAAAAAAAAATCAACTTCAGTTCCATTATTCCCAGCCATTTACCACAAAATATTATAATCCATTTAATATTGACTGGGTACATTGCAATTCAGCTTGTAGAAGAAAGTCTCAAGTGAGTAGTCTGTAAAAGAGAAAAAAAGGCACATGTCCATGACCAACCCTTGTGGTTTAAATCCTCCATATTTAATTAAATTATACAATCTGGACAAAGAACTTCTCATAAATACAAAAGAAGTGATACATCCTGATACATCCTGTTGTCAATTTTTTTTAGTTTTTTTGTTTTTTTTTGTTTTATGAACTCCAGTTTTCAAAAATTACCACGCAACAGCACACAAGGAATCTATTTAACTAAGTGCAAATGCTCCAAAGTCGGTATGTCGGTGAAACAAAACTTCAAATACGAACAAGGGTTCGACAACACAAAAATTTTTTGACTAAAGGCAAGTTAAACCAGTCTGCATTAGCTTTGCATAAAGTAAATTGCAATGAGGACATTGAATGGAATAAAATAGTAACACTTAAAGTTAAGGATAAAATTTTAAAAGAAAAGTCCGTGAGGCAAGCGCTGTAACCACTGCATCACGACCGCAAACTTTTGTTTATGACTAAACATAAACTATTGATCTTAACTTTATCTTTGCTTTATAAAACTTTTGTATCAACTTTTACTTCATTCGCTCCACACAAGATTTGTATAACTGAACAATTTATATAACTGAATATTTGTATAACTGTTATGTACCTAGTCAAGTTTTAAAACATTTGAAATACATTTACTCCCATCATTAAAATGAGTAACAGGAGAGTAAGTACCTATTTCAACTATTTTTGAAAAAAGTTGGAACTTGGAACTCTTTTAAAGTGCTACCAGAAGTCCTTACAGACTAACCACAGAGTACCGCGGATCGGCATTTAACTAGGAGGTTTACGTCTCCTTCCTTACAATTGTCGCTTATTGGACTAGAGCCGGCGTCGAACCTCGGATGTCTTGGTTCCGAGAAAGAACATTTTCAACTGCGCCACAGCTGTATTTGGATTGACAGGTTTTTAATTTATACCAGAATTGAGTTTAGTAGTATATACTGCTTTGTTTTGTAAGAAGCCACTTAGCATAGAAAAAGGTTAAATAAAGTTTAATTTATTGCTAAAGTATCGTTAAAGTCAACAATTTTTAGTAACTATTAATGCAATTTTTAAATGTTTTATGTTAATAAACAATACAAAATGGTTATATCAACTGTTTTTTTGTTGTTTAACTCCAAAATTAGTATTTTTTATAAGCGTTCAACCATAAGTTAAGATCAATGCATAAGTAAACAAGTTTAAGTGTTATATAAGTTCAAATTAAAAAATGAAACATTAAATTTTCATAAATTACTTTTGTGTTAGGCTATGAATTAAGTTAATTAATTTTTTTGTTGTTGGTTTTTTTAATTGATATAATGCATAACTCCGTTTCATTAACACTGGGCTTCATTATGTAAAATAAAGTTAACTGATTTGTAGACAATTGTCTACAAATCAATTAAGTTTATTTTATCTTTATAGCATCTGTTCTCCAATTGCGGTGCTCTGTGATCCATCCGCGTTTTTACTAAATTGGCGATGTATCTTTGTACAAAGACACATTGCCAATTTAGTAAAAACGCGGATGGATCACAAAGCACCGCGATTGGAGAACAGATACTATTGGACATATTGAATAAGTTTTTGATTTTAAATTTTTAATTCTTTTAAGCATTGAAATTTATTTGTTTAAAGCAATAAAAATTTTCATTATAATAATTATGAAATTAAAACTGAAAATTTTTAATGCTTATTAATGTCACGCTTCTTAATATAATGGAAGGTAAGATGCCTCATTGATTTCACTTAAAAAATTACAAAATATTGCAGGATGCTTGCATAATATTTTAAAAATATTTGCAGAAACGCGCATAAATATTATGGAGATAATAACAAGCCTGAACTTTGCAAAAGTTGCTTGCCTTATGAGAAACAGTTTTCAAGAAAAGTTTTTATACAAAATAAAAGCTTTAAAATAAGCGACTAATCAATGCGGTTAAATTTTTGACTTTTTGGTTTGATTATGGTTTTGTTCTACAAGAGATAATCATTCAAATCTTTCTGTATTTAATAAATTGTTAACAAAATAGAAAAATAGATTTAATAGTCTCTTAATACTATTTATTTGGAAATATGTTTATTTATTCTATTATCCTCTGTTATTTAGTTAAAAATGTTAGAAAGTATATATTAAATTAAGAGCAAATTATGTATATAAAGTGCAAAGATTATTGCATTACAATTTAACCTGATAAATTATTTAATGACGTCAATGAAAAAGATTACAAAAAATGCAGATTTACGTAATACATAAAATGACGTAATGCCTTAGAAATTCAAAATAAAAAAGTACTGAACCCTGGTTACAAAAGTTTTAAAAATGTTTATAAATAAATAAAATAAAAATAGAAAAAATAATTTTTTTTATATAAAGATAGAAATGTAAGCATAAAGCTAAAATTCATATTTTCAGATAGAAATGAAAAGATAAAGGTACTTTTTACCTTTATCTTTACTATAATTTCTTTATACTTTTATTTACTGCTTCATATCCTTATTTATATCATCTAACAATAAAAAAAACCTCATTAGTTAATTTACCTCTCTCCACTTATTTAACAATTTAATTTTCTCCCTATTTTACAATATTATTGCTTTATATCCTTAGTTATTTTTTATAATAAAAAATCAGTTAATTTACCTTTTGTCCGCTTGTTTCACAATTTTGTCTGTTAAAGCCATTTACAAAATACTCACAACTGTTAAAAAAACTCAAATGTGCAGGGCCGACGACACGAGTTTTGAAGTGTGTAAATGTGGGAGGGGGAGATTACCATTTTTTTTTAAATTTAATTTTATTTAGGTACCCTTAGAAGTCCTTACGGTGTTATCACAGAGCACCGCGGATGAGAATTTAATCGGAAGTTCACGCCTCCTTCCTTACCTATGTCGCAAAACTTGCCCAGAGGTGGCCAGAATTTCTAAAAAAGAGTTCTATATATATTCTATATCTAAGCCAATTTTTAAAAAAATGTAAACAAGTTCGTCTATTTAAATCCAAATAAATCACTTAACTTTTTAAAATTCATTTATTTAATGGTATAATTACAAAATGCGAATATAGCAAACAAAAAATAATATGCATATAAAAAACCGCCAATAATCTACTAGAAAAAAATATTTGCAAATTAGCCAATAGTCATTAGTCTACTAGACAAAAGCATTTAAAAATTAGGTTGTATTACTTAACCATCATTAGTCTACCAGATAAAAAAATTTACAATTTGAGTTAATTAGCCAACGGCTGGTATTTTGTTTTCATGAAATAACACTGTGGATTAATAAAAAAAAATTATAAATTCACGAAAAAGTAGACGATATTGTTTTTTTTTGCTCTTTGATGACTCAACTTGAGATTTATATAAACACTCCATCGTCTTCATATGTTTCGCACCTGAATAATTTAAAATTGTTTAGATAAGACATGCCAAGTTTAAAAGAGTAACAACATATTTTTAATGATTTACCGATAAGAAAGCGATCTAATAGATGATGTTATGTGTCTTATATTTAATGTAACACCAAAAATGTCTTCATGATAACGTCCGTTTTTCTAAAAGAAAATTTTAGATCTAATCAAAATAATCAAATAAATTTGTTATAATCAAAATTATAACAAATATTTTTACCTTTAAATCGTGAACAAAATCTTTGCAATACTGTTCACTACACTTTAAGTTTTCCATTATAATATCTGTCATGGTTTTTTGAACATCTGATGCCATAGTAACATCTCCACACACATAAAAATGACCTTGCTTATTTAAAAAATGTTCTAGCACTAAATCTGAATGAGCTTTTATCAAGTCTTGAACATAAGTCTAAGGTAATAATAATAAAAAAAGTAAGAAAATAATAAATTCACTTGAATTAAAAAAACAAACAAACAACAAAAAATAAAATGTTTTGTATCATTTGTGTCTAGTCACGTGAATCATTTAATCAATGAAAACATTTAATTAATTTCAAATGACTATCAAAAAAAAGGAAACAGTATTTAAGAGTTTCATTTGAGGTATTTTAGATAGAGCTGATTAGTAGCATATAAAGTAGCCTTAGATGGCTTGAGAAAATGTAGGATGGTGGGTCAGTGACAGATAGTCTTGAATATCATTAGAAATAGAAAATAGTATAATGACTCTTTATACCTAAATATTTTATAGAACTTTTTAAATTCTTAACTTATTGGGAAAGAAAATGTTTCAAAAATTCAGAGTGAACTATCAGAATTTATTTCCTTTAAAAATGATTAATATATATATATATATATATATATATATATATATATATATATATATATATATATATATATATATATATATATATATATATATATATATATATATATATATATATATATATATATATATATTTATCAATCTAAACTTTTAGACACATTTTAAACTCAAACAGTACATTATTTTTCTTGCAAAAAATATGTTAAAGCACTAGCATAGTAATTTTTCATTTTTTATTTCATAAACAACAGAGGGGAATACAGCATCTAACATTTGTATTTAAATTCATGTTAAAATTACTTAAAATTTAATAACATTTTTTAAAATTTAGCAACGCTTAAACACTTTTTCAGGACTTTTTGTATTATTCCTTCATTATCACTTCAATATACTTCCATTTATACATTTACTTTTCTATACACATCAACCTATAAAATTAAAGAGACACGTTTTATTTCTAATAAAAGAGTTAACCTTTGGTTCTCCAGGTAGTCTAGAACAACCAACAAATACGTCAGTTAAAGCTCCCTGACGTTTTGCATCCTCCAGTTCACTACCATAAATATTGTCATTAAATTTATTTCGACATCCAAAGAATAAAAACATTTTTCCAAATTCAGCTTCACCCTGGTGCAATATATTATAAATCCTTTGCTGCCAGAATGATCGAAATGGTGCAATACCAGTTCCAGGCCCCACCATTATTATAGGCGCAGACACAGAAGATGGAAGTTTAAAAGTGTGACATCTAAAGTAAATTTAACAAATAAAAATGTTTATTATTATTTATTTATAATTATTAAAAGTAAAAATTAAATTATAAATACTTTCTAACAAAACAAAATATTTCTTGGCCCGGTTTCTTTAAATGCAACCATGTGGAACATACACCATTATTAGTAATATCTAGGAAAGTAAAAACACGGAAATATTAAAAAAGTATAAATAAAAATATTATATTTAACAAATAAAAAAATTATAAAAATTACAATTTATAAAAAATGTATTTTTATTATTATAAAAAGAAATTAAGTTGTCCTACATTACGAATAGGATTTTTATTTTCTAAAATATAATTGGTTTTTACTTATGTAAAAAATAATTAATTATATAAATATAATAAAATATAATAATAAGTTATATAAATATAATAAAATGTAATAAATAAAATTTTATATAAGTAAAAACACTTATATAAAATTATATTTATTTAAAAATCTCTTTATTATATTTTATTATATTTTGCATGACAACAAAATCTTCTATGCATAAGTTGTTCTTGAATCAAAATAGACTTTAAAAGACAAAAATTTTACTTTTAATTTACTATCTGTCAACTTAACTTACTCGTTAGAACTTCATTTATTAAATATTATTAAATAAAATTTCAATTAAAATTGAATAAATATTTAATACAAAAAAAATGTCACTGAATTATCAAATAAAACATAGAAATAAAATGACAGAAACAAAATAAATAACAAATTTAAAATATTAACAAAAAAATAGGGGTGACACTTACTATTGTGAGAATAGGTAACCAAAGCAACTGTTATATGAATTTCATTGGGATAAAGATCTGGTGATGAAGATATTGAATAATATCTCTAAAAACAAAAGAAAAAACTAAATAGCTTAAACTTCAAATTTTGAAATTCTATTGATATACCAGCATTAAATATGCATTACCCTTGTAAAAACCCAACAAATCTGGTGAGAAAACCAGCATTACCCTAAGAAAAGTATTGTTCTAGTGAAAAAACCAACATAAACCTGGTGATAAAACCATTATAAACATAGTGAAAAAACCAGCATAAACATAGTAAGAAAACCAACATAAACCTGGTGAGAAAACCAACAAAAACCTGGTAAAAAAATTAGTTCAAGATTTTTATGTTTTTTTCTCTTCTCAGTAAAAATCTTTTCAATAACGAAATGCTTGATCCTCAATAACAATAACTTATTCATTGAAATAATACAAAAATTTTTAAAACTTGTAAATAATCTACTAGGTTTTTAATTATGATTTTAACAATTATTTTAACATAACCAAATTATATATTTTTTAAATATAACCAAATCTACTAGATTTTTAACTGTAAATCACATTTTTCTGCAAATTGATTACAACATTACAAAAGTTTTAACTGCTTTTAATTTTGTTTTCAATAAACTTTTTAAAATAGAAGAAAATATTTAAAATAGAAAATATTTAAAATAGAAGAAAATGTTTAAAATAGCGGAAAATATTTAAAATAGAAGAAAATATATAAAATAGCAGAAAATATTTAAAATAGAAAAAAATGTTTAAAACAAAAGAAAATATTTAAAATAGAAAAAAATGTTTAAAACAAAAGAAAATATTTAAAATAGAAAAAAATGTTTAAAACAAAAGAAAATATTTAAAATAGAAAAAAATATTTAAAATAGAGGTAAATATTTAAAACAGAAGAAAATATTTAAAATAGAAGAAAATATTTAAAATAGAAGAAAATATTTAAAACAGATGAAAATATTTAAAATAGAAACAAATATTTAAAATAGAAAAAAATGTTTAAAATAGAAGGAAATATTTAAATTGTCAAAATACAACATGGAAAAATAATTATTCAGAGACTTAGTATATATAAAAAATATGACTTGGTTATGCAAATTACTAAAAAAAGAAATACAAAAATATTTTAGATGGTGGAGGCGAATATATAAAAAATGTAACTTAATATATTGCTTTAAATCTGAATTGTGCAAATGTATAATATGGTCATTTATCACAAGCAGATAATGTAGCTTGTTTATGGTGTAGTGGTGAATGGATATAGGATATGATATCAAAAACCTTAGAACAATTGGTGATCTTGATTCCTGTTATAAAAACATAAGTAAAAATGGATCCATCACATCTCCCATGAAAGAATTTAACAATATTGTGACTATTTACATTATTACACTAATACTAATGCTAAAAAATTGCTCTGTCTCAGCTAATCCCTCTCATTGAAGCAGTAGACTAGCAGAACTTCAAAGACCACTATATAATAGGATGATATCAGAGAATTGGTTAAAATGGTAATAATACAAATAGTAATTTAAAACTTATTATTAAACTTTGACTTTAAAAAAGTAGGTGTTTTATTTACTTCCTGTAATCTGAAACATAGGAACTTTTAACAGAGATAAACAGTAAAAATACAGTAAATATATTGTTAACACTATTTATTTAAAAAAATATATAATACCCTCAAATAAAAATATTTGTATCTCCAATTAACATTAATTAGAATAACTAAAATAAACATAATTGTATCTATGATTAACATTAAAGAAAAAATTTAAGTTTAAAATATCAAAAATTACTAACCGGCTTAAGAATTGGTAATTCATTTGCTAATAATATAACATCAACTTCAACTGATGAAAACTCCTCAAGAACATCTACAATGGTCAAATATGAATTGTGTTTCCAATTTTCATAAACTCTACTGACCTAAATTTTAAAAAATTAGTAAAAATAAACAAAAATAAAAAACAAAATAGTATAATATTAGTATCGGAATTACTTACTGTTGAAAGTTTAGTTAACATCTCCTTCTCTTTTTCATTTTTGCATTTACTTGCAAATATTCCTAACAGCTTCATGGTGGGTGGAGTGGTTATATCAAGAAACCACCCAAATATTCTACCCAGAGTGTTTGGAAGAGGTAATCGTTTTTGCAGTTGATTTTTTGAAAAATCATCTAAATGAAATAAATTTTGTAAAATCATTCAAATAATACAAATAATAAAAGAAGGCTATAAATTATTACCTTAAAAAAGACACAACTATAAATTAATATTGTGAGAAATTTAAATTTAAACATAAAGTTTAAATGTCAACATTTACTTTTATTATTATCATTAAAACAATTTAAATAAATTAAAAATATGACATAGAAAATTAAAACTGACATTTTTGTTTTTTTTAGTTTTTTAGACTGCATCTGGAAAAGTTAGTACATGTTATGTATGTGACTGGTACGTGTTAGTTATGATTTAATGTAACTATATAACAATTTTTTAGAATTGTTGTGAACTAGGGATGCAGATTTCCAAAAAGATTTGAAAGCCACAAAAAGATTACTTCTTTCTAGCTTTCAGTATCCAGGAGATTTAAAAATATATAAAAGCTTATGGACTACTAAAGGAGAAAAAATCAAGACTTTTAGTTTAAAGGAACAATCAATTTTTGAACCTGGAGTCTTTAGGTATAATAACAGCAAGGCCTCTGGAAAAACAAGTAGTTCCAAGCCATTAAATTTCATAGATTTGTTCTTATAGCAGATCATAAATTAACCAACATTTTGAGAACTTTTGGACATCAGAGGCCATGAATAAACAAAGATATAAAGCCAGAGTCCTTTTGGGACTCCACATCCCTGTTGTGAACTATTGTAATTTCATAGTTTCTTATAAAATGCCTAATTTTTTATTTATTTGATTGCGAATCTGCTTACATTGATTAAGAACTGGTATAACTCAGGATCTGGTTTGCTAGACCAAAACTCATAATTGTTTCTGTTATGCTATAACTAGCGCAACTGGCTGCTCATTTAAGATGATTGAACTTTACTTTATTTACTCTGAAGTATTCAACAATTGCATAAACATTTGAACTCAATATGAAAAAAATTTGTAACATGGTATTGTGTTCTTAGAGGGAAACAAAACATCCTAGACAACTTTTATGAAATCAAGATTCAGATTTTTGAAGTCTGCTAATCTATAGTTTAAATTTGAAGGAGGTCTTAATATAGTTTTGGTGGTAGCCAGATGTCATTCATTAGACAGGTGATATTGGTTAGTGGTATTGCAATTGGATGAAGAGACTAAATATTATTTATCTGGTTGTGTAATATAGTGTGTATTCAGTCTAGAAAACTATTTGCGGCATGGATTGCATAATAATGAAAAGTTAATGAAAGTTGCTTGAAAAATAAAATAATCTTTGAGAGTATGCACAGATTGATGATATGATAGCGTCTACTATACATGTGTATGCTACACTTTTATTCTATGTTAACTTTTTAAAATTAAATTCTCTGGCTAAGCACATACCACTAAACATTTTATCATGGACCAACTCCGACACCAAAACTAATGATAAAATTATCTAATCAAGATGTAAACATGCAATAGAGTCATTGTTGTGTTTAGGAGGTCTATAAATACACCCTAGAAAAATGTTCTCTTCTTCTAATGTTATACAGTACACTGTATTTGTTCAACAGTTTTACAGTTTAACTAATAGGTGTTAACTTCAAACTATTTTAATTTGTAATTTAAATAAATTGCAACACTGCCCCCAAAACCTTCCCTATTACTGCAGTATATTTTAAAGCCAGGCAAGATGAAATGTTGATATTATAAAGTATATATGTGTATATATATATATATATATATATATATATATATATATATATATATTTATAAAATATATATACATATAAATATATATATATATATATATATAAATATATATATATATATATATATATATATATATATATATATATATATATATATATATATATATATATATATATATACATATAAATATATGTAAATGTAAAAATATATGCATATAAAAATAATATATATATATATATATATACATATATGTATATATAGATGTATATGTATATATACATACATATATGTATATATATACATGTATCTATACACATATATATATGTATATATATATATATATATATATATATATATATATATATATATATATATATATATATATATATATATATATATATATATATATATATATATATTAGGGTTATGTAAAAAATACATTGATATTTTCAAAAATTTTAAAAATGAATGTGGTACCATTTTATTTTGTTTCTTATATCATGATATTGACTCCTGCAAAATGTTAGCAAATGGATATGGATGTTCAAGAGACAGTTCAAATAAATAGCAAATAAGGAAAAATCACTTCAAGATATAAGCTTGTTTGCTAGCTTCGTGTACATTCTGGATATCATGTCCTAATCTACCACTGGCTCCCGCTAATCACACTTTCCTGAAAACTATTTGTCTTGCTGCCTTGTAGGATATCTCTTTTTAGGCAAAGGCTAGGAGATGCAAACTCCGACATTAAACACCCCCTGCCTTGGGGCTCTTGGTTGAGTAAAGGCTAGAAATGGTGTCTCGATAAAAATACTCATCTTGGGCAGATGTTAAATGCATCCAGCAGCTGTCTTATAGAAGGCCTCCTAGGCAAAGACTTAAGGGGTAAACAGATTTTATCTGTTGACCAGCCTCACACCCCTTCTCCATCTATTAGGCTGGCGCAGATGTATTTTTAATACATTGTTTCCAGTTTAGGATGTTGAACGCTGGATCTTCTTGACTCAATGCATGAGTTTTGCTTGTGTCTCTCTTTTTCTTACTAGGCAACTCATTCTATTATCTCCAAATGAGACTACAGCTCTAAAACACAGTATTATGGTTCTGAGGCCGGCTAGTATTCAGGTTTCCCGAACTCTGTGGTAGCTCTCAGAGAGGCTTATTCCATCAACAGCTGAAAAATATCAGAGTACTAACAGTGCCATGTTGCGTATGAATGGTGTCCCTGTTTGTACTTTTGGTGTGCATTGCTAAGGCCACATTAGAGCCCTTTGTTACGGCTTAGGGTTTATTAGTGGAAATGAGGCAATTGCTTGGGCTATAAAACAGTGTACTGAGTACTATCTATGTTTCGAGTCAAGTTCTTTAACAAATTTAAAAATGAATAAAGTAACAAAAACTATAAAACACAAAAAACCACAGTCATCACCAAGTTCGCCAAACCTATTATTCACCATAATACCTAGTCTTCGAAGTAAATTTTTTTCTGTTGAGTCTTATCACTTGCAAAGTTCACCAGACCTACTTGCTTTTTGTGAGACTAATTTGAGTTCAGCTGTCTCATTTTGTGATCTCAGTGTTGATGGTTATCTTCCTTTAATTCGTAAAGACTCCAATAGTCACATGCTTGGCCTAGGCATTTACATTTGTAAGAATTCACCCATTTGTCGGGAAACTAGATTTAAATCCACAGACAACTCTTTTATGTGCTTTCGTTTAACACCACTCCACTCTATCACTTTTCTCTTTGTTCTATATTGCTCTCCTTCATCTCAAGACTGCACTCTTCTTGATGTTATTTCTGATTATATTGACCAAGCCCTCATTCTTTATCCATCAGCCAATATTGTTGTTGTTAGTGACTTTAATGTTCATCACACTGAATGGCTTGGCTCTAGTGTCAGTGACTCTGCAGGCATTAAGGCCGTCAACTTTTGCCTTTCTCAATCCTTAACTCAAATAGTCAACTTTCCAACTCGCTTTCCAGACAACCCAAATCATTTACCTTCTCTACTCGACTTATGTCTTGTTTCTAATCCTAGTCAGTGCCCAGTTTCTCCACACTCACCCTTAGGTGCTTCTGATCATGGTTTGGTCTCTTTAAAACTATTATCTCATTCTTCTCTACCATCAGAATCCCCCTATCATTGTATATCTTATAACTACCTTAATGCTGACTGAGACTCTTTCCGTGATTTTCTCCATGATGGCCCCTGGGTAGAAATCTTTCGTCTTCCTGTTGACAAATGTGCTTCTTACATAACCTCGTGGATTCAAACTGGCACAGAATCCTTTATTCCCTCTTGACCATTCCAGGTCAAGCCTCACTCTTCTCCATGGTTTTCCTATCAGCAAAATATGGAAGCTTCTGCAACTTCTGGATACTTTTAATTATTAAAAAACTTCCCTGACGTTGACACGGACCAGACTTAAGAAAATGAAACAAATCAAAAAAGTTGCACTTGTTTTGTCCGCTGCAAAATGGCACTTGTCAAAGAAATTCTGCCTGTATGCTGTTTCGTTTTTAGTTCATGTAAAATTAGGAACACTTTATCTATCAGCAAAACAATTCTCCAGAAAACAGACATCTCTTTATTACTGCTAGGAACCATTGTAAAAGGGTTTTGCCTATCGCCAAAGCCCTTATTATTATTCTCAGATCATGAAATCTCGGATTTCATCACAAAATCTAGGCTCTCGCGACTTCTGGAGAATCTTTAATAGTATCAATAATAAGGGCAAGTCTGTTTTTCCACCTCTTTTGTACGATTTAGACTTTGTCATCTCACCTAAAGACAAAGCTGAATTGCTTGCCAAGAACTTTTCATCAATATCATCTCAGGATTCCATTAGTTGCGTTCTACCTGATATAGCCGTCAAACAGGTTGATTTACTGCTCGACATCTGTATCACTCAAACTTCTGTATCTAAAGTGATTTCCTGCTTAGACTCGTCTACAGCTTGCGGCCCGGACAACATACCTGCTACAGTCTTGCAGAAGTATTCTCCGGAGCTGTCGCCTATCCTTTCAAAACTATTTAAAAAGAGCTAATCAGAGTCTTGTTTTCCAGCCTGCTGGAAAGCAGCATCTGTTATCCCTATTTTCAAAAATTCTGAAGAGCGATCGGATTCGTCTAACTATCGCCCATTAGTCTTCTTCCTATCATAAGCAAGGTTTTTGAATCTTTAATTAACAAACACTTAATCTCTTATCTCGAATCTCATAACCTACTTTCTGATCATCTATATGGATTTTGATCTTCTCGTTCTACTGCTGATTTGCTAACAGTAATAAATAAACCGATAGGTTTTATCGCGCATTAGATAAAGGTGGAGAGGTTAAGGCATTTGCTCTTGACATTTCTAAGGCGTTTGATAAAGTTTGGCATGCTGGTCTTCTCCATAAGCTTTCTTCTTACGGTGTATCTGGAAACATCTTTAAGATTATCTAATCCTTCCTTTCCAATCGTAGTATAAAAGTTGTCCTCGATGGACTGCACTCTTTATCTTATTCTGTAACCTCAGGGGTTCCTCAAGGTTTAATCCTTGGCCCTATACTTTTTTTAATTTACATTAACGATCTTCCAAATTTTCTCACATCTAAAGTGGCATTGTTGGCTGATGATACTACTATTTATTCTTATCACGATAAGAAGCCAACTCCCTCTGATTGCTTGCAGGGGGCATCTGAGCTTGAAAAGGATCTCACTTCTGCTACAGCACGGGGCTCACGGTGGCTGGTGAACTTTAATTCAGATAAAACTTATTTTTTTCAGCAAATCGTTATTGCAATAATTTAGACCTTCCTATATTTATGAACGGTAATATACACGATGAGTCTTCTACCCTTCATCTTCTAGGATTAACTCTTACTTCTGATTTTTCTTGGAAATCCGTTGCAAGATTAGCGTCTGCTAAAGTGATTACAATTAATTTGCATTGCATTGGTAATTGAAAATATGATGTCAAATTACTAACTGGTATAGCTCTTGCTGAAAATTCAGTTTCACCATAAAAACTTTTGACCATAAATGAAAGTATAATATTAGGTAATTTATTTGGATAATTAACAGCTTTTTCATAAATATTTTTGCTTTAATATAATAATGCAGCGCTTACATAAACTTCATATATCAATAAAACACTTTCTTTTTTTTTCTTCAAGGTTTGATAGCTAAGAACTTAAAAAAACTAAATCATCTTGAGAATTTATTTTTCAAGTTACACGAGTTAAAGTTCAAATACTTGGCAACTAATAATCACAACACAAATGATTGTAAGCAAAACCACTTTCTGTGAAATGTTCAAAAAGCCCAGGATACTATATCAGGAGAAAAAATAGTAGAGTCAATAGAATAATCTCCTATTACATTTAGATGCACAAATAACATTTAGGTTTTGTGACCTTAGTCTTTAACTCGTTACACATACAAACACACACATGATGTGATCCTTGTCTTCAGCTTTACATAGATACATAGATACATACATAGATACATACATAGATACATACATACATACATACATAGATATATATATACATACATATATATATATATATATATATATATATATATATATATATATATATATATATATATATATATATATATATATACATATATATATATATATATATATATATATATATATATATATATATATATATATATATATATATATATATATATGTATATATATATATATATATATGTACATATATATATATATATATATATATATATATATATATATATATATATATATATATATATATATATATACATATATATATATATATGTACATATATATATACATATATATATATATATATATATATATATATATATATATATATATATATATATATATATATATATATATATATATATGTATATATATATATATATATATATATATACATATATATATACATATATATATATACATATATATATATATATATATATATATATATATATATGTATATATATATATATATATATATATATATATATATATATATATATATATATATATATATATATATATATATATATATATATATATATATATATATATATATATATATATATATATATATATATATGTATGTATATATATATATACATTTTTTTTGTTTGTTGAATGGAGACATCATGTATGAAAGTATGTAAATTATTATTTTAAAAACATCAATAAATTGATTTTCTCTCAATTTTATTTTTTTAAAGAAATTTTTGCTGGATTCTTCTTCAGCTTAAAAGTTTTTTGTTCGTTTTTGTTTATTTGTTATTTTAAAAACCTGTTTTTTGATATAAAGTCATTTTATAGATACTTAGATGACAGCCATGCTTGAGTACCTAACATTTCCCAGGCTGATCAATTTAAGATTTTAATCAACAGTATCAAAAAATACAATATACCATTGAATTTGAAGATGACAAAAAAAACACTAAATTTTCTAGAAATATGCATAATAAACAACAAAAATGGTAAATACGAATTTAAAATACACAGAAAAAATGCAATTACTAACATTCAAATTAAGGCAACATCAAACGATGGCCCACATATTTTAAATGAAATATTTAAGGGTTTCGTACATAGAGCATTTAATGTAGCAGTCAGAAACATATAGAAAATGAGCTGACTTTCCTTATTCCTTATTTATCAAAAATGTTTCCTTATTTATCAAAAATGACTACAAACATCTCATAAAAGTCATAAAAGAAATACAACGAAAGTATAAAAAATCTCTAGTGACTACTAAAAACATTGACGATATCACCAGTACGTATCCAACGATTTCATTACTTTGGGTACCAAAATTTTTTTCTAAATAGCATAAAGTGATTAGGAAGGCAGGATATAAAACGGTCTTTAAATCAAACTTGAACCTAGAGGCAATATTAACATCAAGAAATAATTCCAAACTACAAACGAACAGCCACCCAGGAGTCTACCTTGTTAAATGTCATCATAACAAAAAGTATATAGGTGAAACAAAAATGCAAATAAAAACACGAATGCTACAACACAAAAACAGTACAATAGGAAATATATTAGAACGATCTGCATTAGCCACACACATGAGACATTGTACACAACAAATTAACTGGGACAGTTGCAGAACTCTAAAAGTCGATAGGAAAATGTTTGATAGGAAAGTTCGTGAGGCACTTAAAATACAGTACCACCAATGTGCCCCTCAACAAAATGGTATCAATTTATTACATCAAAAAAAGATGAAACCATCCCATAGGCATAAAATAGAACTGCCGATATTAAAAATAATGTATAAACAAAAACAAAAAAACTTTTAAGCTGAAGACGCTGGTCACAACAATCCAGCAAAAATTTCTTATAAAAAATAAATTTAGTATTGAGAGAAAATCGTATTTATTGATGTTTATAAAATAATTATATATATATATATATATATATATATATATATATATATATATATATATATATATATATATATATATATATATATATATATACATATATATATATATATATATATATATATATATATATATATATATATATATATATATATATATATATATATATATATATACACAAAACGTTTTTTATAATTATATTCAAATCATAAATTGCATCCAACTTAGATATTCCAAAAATAATTTATTAAAAGAATTTAAAAAATCCTAAAATTATTCATTTCTGTAGCCCTAGTGTAAAACTAATGATGAAATAGAAATAACAATAGTTTAGAAAAAAAAAAAAAAAAAAAAAATACTTTATTACCGGGATCTTCACTTAAAACTATGTCTACTACAGTGGATGATGTAAGTTTATTGTTGCTCACACGCCTTATCAATCTTTCAACCATTTCTATGTCATTACATGGATATATTCCTAAGTGATCGCCTGGACTGAATGACAAACTGGTGTTTGAGCGCTTTTCAATACATACCAAATTTGTAACACGACTATACAACAGAATAATACTAAATATTTGTATTATTAATATTACAATAGTATATATTAGAGTGATTCATAAAAGTAACTTTTTTAAATGTATGCTCTTAACCCCTTAATATGTTTAATATAGATTTAAAATTTTACCACTAGTTTTAAAATTTTTTTGAATGTAAAATACTTTTAGAGTTTTTGAATGTAAAATACTTTTAGAGTTATTAAACTGTTATAATAATAAAAATATTTTGATATTTTAGAAATTTTGCTGATTTTTGATTGACAAATTTTTGATAAAATTATCAAAGGTCTTAAGAAACCTCTAAAAACTTTTTTTATTTAAAAACTTTCAAATCTAGGGTTGTTTTGCTATATCTAAAACATTTATTAATCTAACGTAGGGTGTTAGAAATTGAATTTTCAAAAAAACTGCTTTTATAAACCACCCTAATTTTCTGTAATACAAATTAAAAATAATGTTTACATTTGGAAACTGAAAATAAAGAATTTCTAAGTGCATATCTTAAAAAAAAAAGGTTTTAACTTAAAATGCTTAGTCCAAATAATAGCCAATCAGAAGTAAGTCTTTTGGTGTAGAAATGCCATACACTCCAATATATGAAGACATATCCCGACTTCAACATTTTGTCTCAGTCTCCTTAACAAGGTATCATTTATCTTGGGCAATTTAAAATTATTAGGTATATTTTAAAAATTCTCCTACAATATTGAACATACATAAAAATATTGATATGATAAAATTTTTCTGAAAAAAAAAGAACTTTGTTTTGCAGTGCAATTATTTCCTAATTCAAAGTTTTTTTTATTTTTTTATTTAAAATAACATTCTTAAAAGTCTCAGTAAGACTCAGCAGTGTTTATTATCTATAGCATATTGACATTGATTTTTAATTAAACCTAAAACTAAAAAAGGAAAAACAGGATATTATCTAATACTTCATATCAGTAAGTTATAGTAAAAAATCAAGAGATCATAATAAATCAGGTAATCGAAGTTCCAGATTATTGTTGGCATCTACGTAAAGGAATATATTATCTTTCCTTCATAATTTCTCTAAAAGATATTTTATTATGTGCTGCGTAATTGACAACTGCATATAAAAGTGTTAAAAATCATCAGACAATCATTATGCTTCCAGATTCCAAATTGTAACCAAACAATCTACTGCATTTGTAACCAAGCAATTTACTGCAATTGTAACCAAGCAATCTACTGCAAGTTCAAAAGCAACAGCTCTAGTTAAAAACCTATTAACCCCTCAATTTATACAATAACAGCATTTTGTATAGATAATAACAGTATTTTTTATAGAAAATAACAGTATTTTGTGATATATTGAACAACTATAATATTTCAGCAAAAGGTTAATTTTGGCAGGAGAGAACAACATAGAATAAACAACACATTTTACAAATTAAAAGAAACATTGCCTCCAAATATAAAATTTCCCTACATTATTCATAATACAGTTTCTCCTGCCATAAATGTCTCATTGATATGTAGTATCATTGATATGTAGTATCAAAAAGATATACACAGTAATGAAAAACTTAAATATTTCTATGAGTTCACTGAATTAATGTAACAATATTATCACAAAGTAGGAGGTTATTGTTTTTTCCAGCAATTGAAAAAATGTTATAGTGGAAACTATAAGAGAATTTTTTTTGGAAGAAAAAAATCCCTCAAAAGCAGTAATAGATCTTTTCAAAAAACTATCATCAGAAGTATACACTTTATTTGTACACAGCCAAATGTTTTTTGTTTGAAAAAAAAATTATCAAAATCAAAAAATCAAATACAACTGTTATTAAAGTTAAACATATTTTGGAGGACTTAAAAAAACCAATCAGCTGAAAGATTATATTATAAAGTTTTAGGTATTCGAACAAGTCAGAAAATTACAAATTAAAAACGTATTTAGAAAAAAAAAAATGATGCAAGAAGAAGAGTTGTATGACATGTAGTGACTTCTACAATTATGAAAAAAAGTTGCTAACAAAAAATCAGAACATCTGAAAAATATGATTGTGCAAAGTAGAGCAAGACAAGAAAGAGTAAAGGTGAGTGAAGAATGTGTAATAAAATGTTTTGGTAAGGGGTATGTTGTTAAGTTATGTATAGTTATTTAAATTCAGTTGAATTGCTAATTTAATTTATAGTTTTACCCGCAAAAAAAGAGAAAACTTTCCTGTTGAGCAAAATATTCCAAAATAAATCAATTGAGCAAACATTTTGCTGTTAGAGTATAAATGATCAATCACTTTTTTTTATAATATACCTATGATTATTGATAGAAGTTTATTTGAGTATGTTGTTGTTGTTGTTTTTTTTTTAAGGTGGCGGAGAGGAGGGGTGTGATTCCAGTCAGTAGTCGGACACATGTATGCAGCCCTACTTTAATTTAAAAAGTTTCCTTTATGCATAACAATTTATAAAAATTACTTGAGCAAATCTTAGTTTGTTCTTAAATCCCTGTTAAACAAAATCCCTTATGTTAAATGAAATACATTGATAGACAGAAAAAATTTTTAAAAACAAATTAACTCCCAGCAAGGCTGCAAGCAATCAGTAATAAGGTTTAGAGCTAGCAGAAAACAAAGAAAAGAGTTAAAAAAAATAAAAAATAGAGCTAAAAAACTTTAAATTATGTGTCAGGCAATCACGAAGAAAGGAGAAGTTTTAAAAGCACTAATATTCACTGAAAAAAAAAGAAACTTTTTTAGGCATAAAGGAACAGTTACAGTAAGATTGTGAGATTGAGTTTTGGTTTGTATTTTGGTTTATTTTAAATCATATTATGATATCTCATTTGAGCAGTAACCATGATGGTATTTATTAGGAGGATAACACAGACTAAGATGGCTACTACAGTTAAAGAGGTTAGTTTTTATTTTTTTAAATTGTGGTTAACACTTTTAACTCTATAACTCTGTAACATGATACTTAATAAGCAAGCTGCTGTGTGAAAAATAAAGCTCTAGCATTACCACATTTCGTTAATATGTGTTTTGTTTAAGCTCAGAACTTATTGTAATCATTGTAATTACTTATTGTAAATATTGTTGGATCTGATATATCAGACAGATCCAACAATATTTACAATATGTTTTTGGACCTTGTCTAAAAATCAGAGAGAGGAAAACATTAGGAGAACCAGTCTATGACATTATGGCAACAGTATTCCAAGGTTTAGTGAAGGGAAATAGAATAGAATCAGAAATTTAAACATAATAAGCTTGTTAAAAAAAGACTACTTTTTGAATTATAAACGCCTTTGTATCATGTATCAAGAGTGATAGCCCTTGCCTCAACGTTTCTAATAAACAATATCAGTTAACAAGACAGCATTAGAAGGAAAACTGATAGTGTCAATAAGAAATGTTAAATGTTTGTAAATTAAAGATTTCGCTTATAAGTTTAGGGATACTTAAAGTTCTAAATATGCTGGTTTACGACAGGTTCGACCTGACCTTCAGGTTTTTGTAGTAATGGGCTCAGAAAACGGTTCAGGTTGTTCACAAGATCCATCGTGACTAACGTCTTTATTTTCAAGCTGCTCGTGTGCTCTGTTGGGTTCAATATCCTTGTTAATTGGGTTGCATTCATCATACGTGCTATCACTCGGGACTGATGTTTCAGGTATTTTATTGCTTAACAAAGGACCAATTATGCCATCTGCTGTTTAAACTAAAGGTTCAATGCAATCTTTTACATGACGTTTCACAATTTGGTCTACATGTCTAATCTGGATATGACCATCCAATGTCAATACTTTGTAGTTCACATTTCCGACTTTTGAGACAATAGTAGCTGAGACCCATTTCTCACCTCCACTATAATTCCTTACGTACACAGGGTCTTCTGGTTGAAAGAAACGACTTTTATTACTAAAAATACCGGGAAGCTGCTTTTCGTTGATTTTGGTGATGACCTCAGGGAGTAGCATTGACAATGGATTTCTTAATCTTCTACCTAATAAAAGTTCAGCCGGAGAAACTCCAGTTGTAGAATGTGGTGTTAAGCGATATTTAAAAAGAAAGCGGCACAATTGTGTCTCGACATCACTTCCTTGAAAACATTTTAACGAGATCTTAAATGTTTGAACCATTCGTTCTGCTTGACCATTCGATGCTGGATGATAGGGTGCTGCATAGATTGGTTTAATATTATTTGAAGACAAAAACTGTTTATATTCTTCACTCGAAAACCCAGATCCATTATCACTAACAATAACTCGAGGTATACCATGGGTCGAAAACAATCTTCTGAGTACCCTAATTGTTGTCTTGGCTTCAGTACTGCCCACAACTTCTACTTCAATCCACTTTGAGAAACTATCAACCACCACCAAGAATATTTTTCCATTCATTGGACCTGCATGATCAATGTGTAATCTCTCCCATGGTCTGCTTGGATATTCCCATGGATGAGACTCAGTTAATGGACACTTCTGATTCCTTTGACAGGTTTCACAATTTTTTACTTTGTTCTCAATTTCCAAATCGATTCCAGGCCACCAGACATAACTTCTAGCTAAAGCTTTCATTTTACTTACTCCTGGATGAACCTCATGTAACTCTTCTAATACTGTTTCTCTTAATACTCTTGGCACCACTACTCTTCGCCCCCACAACAAACAACCCCCTTCTGTTGACAACTCAGGGAACCTGGATGTGTATGGTTTCAGTTCCACTTTACTCTCTTCCATCATCAATCCTCCGTCTAACACTTTATTTAGAACCACTCCCAATATGGGATCATTGTATGTGGCTACCCTCAATTGTTTTTCTGTAATAGGGGCTTTTACTAGCTCCATCATAGCCACCTCCATGGTTTTTAACCGTGACTTTTCTCTCGATGCATCTAATGGTAAATGACTTAAACCATCTGCAGCTGCGTTCTTTTCACCAGGACAATATAGGAGTTTATAATCATATGCTGACAGTAGCAGAGCCCAGCGCAATACTCTTGCAGCAGCTCTTGCAGGAAGTTCCTTGTTTTCTGAAAAAAGCCCCAGCAAAGGTTTATGATCAGTGTATAAAGTAAACTTGTGCCCATATAAATACTGATGAAATTTTTTTACTGCAAAAACTAATGCTAATCCTTCCTTTTCAACTTGGGCATAATTTCGTTCAGCCATATTTAATGTTCTTGAAGCGAAACTAATAGGTTTTTCTCTTCCATCATCCTGCTGTTGACTCAACACAGCTCCCACGCCATGTGGACTGGCATCGCAGTGAACCATAATTTTTTTCGATGGATCAAAGTGAGCTAACAATGGTGCATTGCATAACATAGTTTTAACTTTTTGAAAAGCCTCCTCACTGTCTCTACTCCACTTCCAGAATACATTTTTCCTCATCAATTTATGGAGTGGCTCTGTAACAGAAGCCATTCTAGGTAAATAGGCATTGTAATAGTTAGTCATTCCTAAAAATGCTCTTAGCTCTTTGATATTGGTGGGTCTAGGAGCATCCATAACTGCCTCCACATTTTGTGTAGTTGGTCTGCAACCTTCTTGACTGATTATAAAACCACAGAATACAACTTCAGGTTGCATGAAAGAGCACTTAGATGCTTTAAGAGTTAATCCTGATTCCTTTAAAATTCCTAATACGGATTCTAAATTGTTTAAATGCTCTATGTCCGATTTTCCAGAGATGAGTATATCATCCACTCGAACTTTTACAAATGGTAACCTCCCTAACCTTCTATCCATTTCTCTTTGAAAGATGCCAGTTGCACTATGAATACCAAACTGAAGGCGAGTCGGCTGATATAAACCTTGATGCGTATTTATTGTTAGAAACTCTTGTGAAGTTTCATCCAACTCAAGTTGCTGATATGCCTGGGACAAGTCAAGCTTGGTGTATTTTTGTCCACCTGCAATAGTGGCTAACTGATCTGTGGTGTTTGGGATTGGATAGGTATCCAGAGGGGCAGCTTGATTTATTGTAATTTTATAATCCCCACATATACGTAATGGGCCCGTAGGGTCTTTTGAATTCTTTAGAACAGGCACTATAGGTGCTGCCCATTGTGAATATTCAACCCTTCTCCAAACCCCTTGGTTTTCCAAGCGATCAAGTTCTTGTTCAATCCTTGTCCTTAAAGCATACGGTACTGGTCTTGGTTTTAAAAACTTTGGTTGTGCACCCTCACGTACAGGTATGTGGCATTTAAAATTCTTTAAGCACCCTAAATTATCACTAAACACCTCTGGAAATTTCGCAACTAATGCCTCTACCCTGGAATCCAACCTATTGCAAATGTTCACTTTTTTAATCCCTTTACACAAATCTGCCCATTCCAGGTTTAGTCTATAAATCCAATCTCTTCCCATTAATGTAGGTACATTTCCCTTAACTACAGTTATAGGTAAACTGCAACATTGTCCTTTATAATCTACTTCAACAAGTCCTATTCCTTCTGGTCTTACAAGTTCTCCTGTGTAAGTCTTTAACACTACTTCAGACCTTCTTAACTTTCCTTTATTTCCTTTCACTCTTCTATAAGCTGAAACAGCCATTACGGAAACAGCAGCTCCTGTGTCCACTTCCATTCCTACCTCTTTACCATTGATTTTTACATTAACCATAACTGGCCCATTCACCCTCTCAGACTCCTCACCTAATGAATACAAGGCTAAAAAATCACTATCATTTTCATCTGTGTCTGCAGTGTTTCCTTTAGCTGAACCCTCACGAATTTCAACTTGTTTCACTCCTAATTTCTTCTCCTTCCTACCCTCAAATTCCTTTTTTTCTGATTGACATCTTCTTTTTATATGTCCTATTCTACCACATAAGTGACACTTTGAGTTGCGATAATGACAATTGTTTGCCTGATGACCCATATAGCCACATCGAAAACATTCTCTATTTTTCTCAAATCTTGTCCGAGTATCCATCTTGTGCACTTCTTCTTGTTCTATATGACCCTCTCTAGTACCACGTAAAATCTTAGCATCTTTATATGCCGCTTCATATGCTCTTGCTGTGTCTAATGCTGTCTCTAATGTAAGGTTTTTTATGGTTAATAACTTTTGCTGTACATTTTCGTTGTTTAATCCACACACAAATCTATCTCTTAAGTAATCATTTAACTTCTCACTTAACTCACAATGCTCTGATAATCTGTGCAATTCAGTAATATATCCATTCACTGATTCTCCCTCTTTTCTGTCTCTTTTATAAAATTGAAACCGTTGTGCAATGAAGTTTGGGGTTGGTTTTAAATGGTCTCTCATTAACTTTATTAGTTGAGTAAAACTTTTATTTTTAGTGTCATTTTCACATAAACTACGAAGAAGTTTGTAAGCAGGTCCTCCAATAGTTGATAGAAAAACGGCTTTTTGTAATTCTGCCTCCTGTATGTTATTGGCAAGTAAATAATTTTCAAATCTTTCAATATATTCAACAAAATCGTCATTTTCTAAATCAAAACTCGATATATTAACCAAATACATCATTTTTATCTTCGTCGCCAATTGTTATAACCACAGTTAATAAAGAAAAACTACTGCTTTAAGAAAACTCAATTAATAATCACAAATAATAAGATCTACAACAAAGAGTAACAACCATAAATAAGTCTATCAAAATAACAAGTGTTTTTTCGATCATTACTCTCGGACTGCTCAGGAAACTCACCAGCACGTTTTTTAGTCTATACTTTGCCGGAAACCGGCTTACGCAGTTACAACAATTCTACACCAAGATATCTTTGTCTTCTCATATGTTGATAATATGATGTATGTTATATTATTAGTCTCATAGTTTGAATTAAACTTTGTAACCATTGTGCATTGCATCACATTTAACATGAACTTTATTTGGTATTTTAACATTATAATTTTAATACAGAATTATGAAGAATTACATTTTTGTAGTCTCCTATAAATTTTTTTATCTTCCCTAATGCAGTTAATGCACTGGCTTTGCATTTAGTAATACATACTATAGAATTGCATTTACCTAATTACTTAGACATGCAATATTAAATATAATCATAGATAGATTTTAATTGCAAATTAATATTTGCAGTAATAACCCATTTTAATTTTTTGTTTAGATGTAAAAAAAAATTTCACACTTATTTTACACACAAAAGTTCTTCTACAAAAAATTATTATAAAAAGTTACTTTGATTCAATATTTTGTAAGTTTGTCACAGATATTATTTGGCATGCTTCAATGGTCTTTTGATGAAGTTGTTCAAGTTCTGAAAATAAGACAAAATATTTTTTATAACATTTGATTTATTTTTGATCTAATGTTTTTAATTTATAAAAGCATTCTTTACTCTATTAATACTATATTTTTTATAGCTGTTTTTAAAACTTTGAGGATCTAAAAATCTTTATAACTTGAATGTTTTTATAATTTTGTATATGTTACCAAACCAAAGCCAAGTGTTGAGAAGCAGAAATAAGTCTATAAATTAGGTTGTTCAGAAAAAAAAGGAATAAAACAAAATTAACAGAGATAAACATCAATTAAATCCAATACTTAGTTATATACATTATAATGTTATGATGGTTATAACCATCATAACTTGAGTATTTGAATACTTGATATTTGAATATATTTACATGTCTTTTGACTATTTAATATTCAAATACTTTATTTGAAAAATTTAAATAATTTCTAAAATTAAACAACTGAATTTTAAAATGAAAAGAAAAAAGAGAAAACTATGCAGCAAACTCTAATGTAAATATTAGAATTAAAAAGAGTTATTAATGAAAAATTAAAAAAAATACAAAAATACAAAAAAGCTAAATATTTTTACAAAGACATGATGTGGAGAAACAAAAATACATTTTTGAAATGGTTTTTATTTTGTGTTGGTTTGTGCATTATTTTAGTTGGTTTTTAAAACACAGTCGGTTATTTAAATTGCTTATGAATGTTCATAAGTTTGATAGCTTACTATGTAAATGTTACATAATCATAATCAATACTTGAAATTTTTCCATAAATTTAGTTAATTTTTTAAAAATAGAGAAAGATTTTTTATAAAAATACAATTATTTCTGCATAATATAAGGTGGAAATTCAAATTTGTGGGATTTTCTTACATAATTTCAAACACTGCTTCATTAACTATTTCCAAGTGTATCAACAGCTTTTATTTAAAAAAATGTACTTAGGGAAAATTTTGACAAATTAAAAAATGCAAAGCATAAATTTATATAAATAAATGAACAGATTGCACTATTAAACATTATTTAAACATAACAGCTTATGTGCTTGAAACAGGCTCAAATACAATTAAATGCTTTTTTCTGGGTTTTACAGAAATGATTATACAGGCAAAATCAGAAACAATTAAACATTTGGTTGAAGGTAAGTTCGCAAACTTAAAAATTTTCTTAAAAAATAACATTATTACATCAACTAACAATACAGCAGTCATAATGAATAATATAACAATTCCTTAGGTGTTTTAAACCAACTTTGCCATAATCATACACTGCAATTAGTTGTGATGGATTGTTTTTATAAACCAAAAAACTATATACCTGTATATATAACATAGGTATATAGTTTTTTGGTTTATAAAAACATATATATATTTGACAATATTAAAGATTTGGTTGATGGTAATATGGAAGAAGACTCTCATTGCAATATAGATTTTGGTGAAGAAAATAAGTATAAAACTGTATACTAACTTTGATCAAATTATCACCAATTTGACAGGTATTATAAGAATGTTTAAAAAATTGGCTACAAAGTACTCTATTTTGCAACAAATTATATCTAAAAAAAAAATATGGAAAAAACTAAAGTTAAAATTAGACATAAAAACTCAATGGAATTCCTTAAGTGTATAATTCAACAATTTTTAATTCTATCCAAATATATAAAAAAAAATTCAAAATCAAATTGAATTTTGATTCTATTTCAGAAAATACTTTTGCGCTGCAAAACCTTGTTGATGTTCTTGCAATGCCGTTACTGAGCAAAAAATGTTGCAAAGCTCATAACAGCTGAGAGAGTTTTTGTTCGAGTTGCAACCAAAGCAAATCAACCCAAAAAAAAATACATGCTATCAAAAAAAGAATAACAAAAGAAGAGATCCAGTCTTAAAATCTCTGATAATTTACCTACAGTGTGGAAATATACCAAGTTCTTATGGTCATTTTAAATATTCATCAAAAAATACGGCAATTTTATCTGTTGTTAAAGTTATGGAACAAATACATCCACAAATGTTTATAGATGAGCATGTTAATATTAATAATGATGCTAATTCTTCTTCACCTAATGCAGATGATTTAACACCAAAGTGCAATAAGTTCTATTTCAGATACACAAAACACACAAAATACTTGCCAAATTGATAAATATATTGAACTGAAGAGAGAATTTTGTTGAATAAAGCAACCCTGGACAATTTGTATTACACTTTAATAACAATAAACATCAACAATTTACTTTAACAGTTTCTAAAAGGTTCAATTAAAAGAAAAAGAAGATCAAGTTTAAATTTTGAACATTCAAATTACATTTATTTTTAAAATATATAAAATTTTAAAACATTCAATACTTTAGAAAATTAAAAACAAAAAATTTTTAACAATAAGAGAATCATTAAAAATTAATTATAAATGTTTTTTTTTTATTAAATTAATGTTATTCTTTATTTTTGTTAATATGCCATTTTACTTTTGATAAACTATTCAAGTATTCAAGTATTTTAATTTTTTTAAATTCATTATTGAAATAATTGAAAAGTTTGATTAATTTATATAATTATACATTATATTATAAATTTTTGAAAATTGAAAAAAATTTTTTTTTTGATATTTCACTCATTAGATAGGCAATTAATTGTAGAGTAATAATATAAAAAGCTTATTCCCAAAATATCTTTTTATTTCTTGATAAATTAACTAACTGAAAAAAAATTATATAAGAATGATAAGAATATTTAATCTTCTTTTGCGTTTTTCTCCATTTTCAAGTTTTGCGAAACATGGTCTGATTGTAAACATGATATCTTGAGAAGCAAACATGCAAATTACTTTAAATTTTCAGGAAATGTTTATTATACTATATTCTAGGGAATGACATTTCAAAATTTCAAAACTCTGCTCCAATCTTTTTATTTTTTATTTTTAAGGTCTTAAAAAGTTTTTTTTTTATTTGATAAAAAAAAAATTGATATAATTTTTTATGTACTTTGAAAATCTTAAAATGCATATGTCAATACCTTACCTTACATGTCTAGAACATATGAAAAAAATTTCATGGATGTTATGCTAATATATTTAGAGTAGTCGTAAATGGACCCTTTAATATGAATGTTTTTTGATAAATTTGAGGCAAGGTAATCAAGGCAAAGTAAAATGAAGTATAAAATAGCATTCCAAATTAATATTATTTTTATTAACATAATTTTTTTTTTTTCAAGTTTGAACATTTTAGAATATTTGGTGGTGTACCACCTTAAAATATAATATTCTTTATTATTTAAGACAGATCCCTTAAAATATAATATGTGTTGCTTTAAATATTAAAAAAAATCACCTTTTTGCAATAATTTCATGATAAACAGTTCAGGAAATGCTACATAATAATCTTCACTGCGAAATAGTGAACTCTGAAGTTGATTTGTTATTTGTACAGAAAACTGCTCACATGCAGCCTGTGTAAAAATAATGAATACAAATTTAAAACTATAAATAAGTGAAAATTATTTATTACAAAAAAAAAATATCAATGATAGAATAATTAACTAGTCTATAAATATAACCAGCAAACATCAAAGTAAAGTAAGCAAAATTAACAAGTAAACATAAAAGTTAGCACAATTAACCAAAAACAAAAAAACAATGTTTTCTTTAGAAATTTATCTTGAAACAGCCATGTGACCATCAATTAGTTTAATTTTGTACATTAAAACAACAATAACAACCAAAAAACAATGTTTACTTTTAAAATTTACCTTGAAACAACCATCGGACCATCAGTTAGTTTAGTATTAAACATTAAAACAACAATAAAAACCAAAAATCAATGTTAACTTTCAAAATTTACCTTGAAACAACCATGTGACCATGTTTTAAATGCTTCTTCTTGACCACAAAGTTCGTCTCCTTCTCCAATTGGATAAATTTCTTCACCGCCAAGCGCTTTTAGTAATTTATTGAGTGAATTTGCAAACGCACAAAAATTTGGATAAGCCTTTGAACCAAGACCAAATACAGAAAAGCTAAATTAATTATGCTTAAATACAAAAAAAATTTTTAATTTCATCAAAAATTTTTAAAAAGCTTAATCAGTTAAAAAAATAGTTTGAATTAAAAAAAAAAAATACATTTTTAAAAAACTTTAAATAAAAGTTAAAAACCAAGCTAAATTACTTTAGAAATAAAAATGTAAATTGGAACTAGTTAAATACTCATGTTTTCATCAACTAATCATTATAACAGCAGTAGTAATAAAGTCACAAGAGAGTCATTAGTAAAGTGATATTAGTACGTCTAAAATTACTTTCATTAGAAGTTATGGTTATAAAAAAAAATTAAATTAAACAAAAAAAAATTTTCCAAATGGGTAACTGTACTTAGGTTAAAATAGAAAAATAATTATAAAAAAATTGCAAATGCTAACTTGTTCTTTTTAGAAGCTAACTGTTAAAAAAAAACTTTCATTATTTTAAAACTGTTTTAAAATTTGAACACACTTAGTGTAAGGTCTTTACATTTTCTTCAGTTTTAAACCCAGAAAAGACAAATTTTTAAATAATAATTTTTTTTTAAATTTATACAGGTGTATATTTAAATTATAAAATTAATAAAATTACATTTAAAATACAGGTGTATATTTAAATTTTTTTATCTAAGATTTCTTTATCTTTGTTTATTCTTTTTTCTTGCGTATATATCCAAATTTTCTTGTATATCATTTTTTTTTTTTTTTTTTGTATATCAAACAATTTTTATTATATAGTAAAGAATATTTAATAAATAAAAAATTAAACCTACAGAATCGGAAAACTTTCATCAAATGAAGCAAGTTGCGATGTGTGACGGTGATGAATCACACGCAAACTATTTGCACTATAAATTCAAAATTTTGCATTAAAAGAAAATCAGATTTCATTACACAACAGTACAAAAAATAACAATATCAATTTTTGTACAACTCAATTTAATTTACATCTAACCCATCATCATGTAAGTTTGAGCACAACAACACAGGTAAGTTTGAGCCCATCAAGTTTTTTAACCAACTTTTAACTTAAAAATTAAATTAATTAATTTAATTTAATTAAATTAAATAAAATTTAAACGTTGTTAAAGAATCATGACAAAATACTTTGTGAGATAAAATTAGCTTTATTTTGTGTTGTTTAACTTTATTTTTTAATTAAAACAACATTTTTTAAATTTGGTTTTAATCTTTTTATATTACAGTTTTGCTTTTTAGTATATGGCACAAGATGTTTTCTAAACACTAAACTATTAGGCCTAAAGAGTATTAAAAGAATTCATTTAGTAACATATCAGCCCAAGATTGAATTTCAGAACCCAATTTTGATTTTTTTTAAAACATCTTTAATTCCAACAAAGCTGCAAACAACCATAATAAAAATTCTACAATGGGCCCTGCTTTAAAGAGCTAGCTTCTCTAGTGCCATCAACTAAAATTCATTCTCGTGTTACTTGTCATTCAATTAAGTCCTTTTATTGCGACTGTTCCTAAGTGCTCCAAAAATTCTTATTCATCTTGTTTTTTCTGTTAATCTTTAGCTTGCTTTATAAACATCATCTTCCAGTAACTTTCAACTCTAATAGGGGTTGCTCGGAGTCTTAATGGAAGTGATATATATATATATATATATATATATATATATATATATATATATATATATATATATATATATAAAATGATTAAAAACAAATTTTAATGGAACTCTGACTTTCATGCCTTTTGGCAATAATCAGCAATTGTATCTTTGTTGAGTTGATTTTGGCAATCATCAGCCATTGTGTCTTTGATGGAACTCTGAGTTTCGTGCATTTTGATAATCATCAGCTATTGTATCATTGTTTTGGCAATCATCAGCCATAGTGTCAATGGGTTTTCTCATTTTGTATATATATATATATATATATATATATATATATATATATATATATTTTTTTTTTAAAAATAGCATTGAGCACTTTTAAACGCACAATTTGTATTATAATTATTATTATTATTATATCATAATAATACATTATATATTTTGTGTGTATATATATATATATATATATATATATATATATATATATATATATATATATATATATATATATTGTTATTCACCTCCTCAAGGCTGAGAAGGCCACTACAGACAAGGAGGCTACTTAATAGTGGTTATTATTTGTTTTTATTCATTTTATATATATATATATATATATATATATACATATATATATATATATATATATATATATATATATATATATATATATATATATATATATATATATATATATATATATATGTATATAAATTTGTAAAAACATTTATTTCAATATCTTCTACAGTTTGTTTCACCTTTAATAGGTTTAGGTTACCCTACCTTTAGTAGGTTCAGAAAGTACACAATGGCTGATGATTGCCGTAAAGCATGAAACTCAGAGTTCTATTAAAAGTTGTTTTTATTCATTTTATTTAAATAAATAAATATTGTTCTATTACACAGGCCTATTAAAATAAAAAAGTTTTTTGGTGCCTAAGATTTAATAATTGGTTTTAGCTATATTTTTGTTGCTGAATCTGAATTTGAAGTTTTTCTTTATCAGCTCTAGTTTTTGAGATAAATTTTTTTAAGTTTCGATTTTACACCAAATTAACAGTTTTAACTCCACTTAGTAATGTTATAACTCGTATAGACAATGTTTGGTTACTGCATTCTATATATTTGTTATATATTCAGTTTATTGGTCTGTTTGCAACAGGAAAATCCACTAGGTGGAGTAACCATACTGTAAATTAAGTGAACTTCAACTATAATTGAGATTAGTATGAGAGTTGTTGCCGTGCGGAATAGATGAAAGTTGGTGTCGCGTGATATTTCTATTTTCTGAAGTGTTGTTGTTAAGTTAACCTAAATAGTATTGTGTTATAAATTGTTCTTGTATTTTTGTATTTAGATCTAGATAAAATTAGTTCAAATAGAAGAAGTTGTGTGAATCACCCTGATGTGTTTTGCTACATATGCGGAGAATATATGTTAAAAGAAAACAGAAAAAAAGTTAGTGACTTTTTAAAGAGGGCTTATCTTGCATACTTTGGTGTAAGGCTTGGGGATCAAGATAAAACCTGGGCCCCACATCAGGTCTGTAAAACTTGTACAGAACATTTACGACAGTGGACTACCGGGATAAGAAAAAGTATGAAATTCGAGGTGCCAATGGTTTTGAGAGAACCACGAAAGCATTTCAATGATTGTTATTTCTGCATATTAAATATTACTGAAATCAATCGAAGCAACCGTAGCAAGTGGATTTATATCCTGATTTACTATCTGCAAGACGACCAGTTCTTCACTCAGAGGAAGTTCCAATCCCAACGTTTCTCCAGCTACCAGAGCTCTATGAAGATGAATATTGTGCTTTTAATTCTTTTGATACTAATGAAATTGACAGTGATTATGAGGGAAAGGCATCTATTCCACAACAATTCAACCAAGATGAGTTAAATGACCTTACCAGAGATCTTAATCTATCAAAAGAAGCTTCTGAGTTACTTGCTTCCAGATTGAAGAACAAAAATTTACTGGAACAAGAAACCAAAATTACTTTCTGCCATACATGAGAAAAGGATCTGCTACCCTTCTTCTCTCAAGAAGAGGATCTTGTATTTTGTCACAAAATTAGAGGACTCCTAGAAAAAATGAGTCTTCCTAAATATTTTCAAGATGACTGGCGTCTATTTATTGATAACTCAAAGCGAAGTTTGAAATGTGTTCTTCTGCACAATGGAAAAAAATTTGGTTCAATACCAATTGCTCACTCAACAAAAATGAAAGAAGAATATAACACCATTGGTTTAATCTTGGAAAAGCTAAAGTATCAGCAACATTAATGGGTGATTTGTGTGGACCTAAAAATGGTTAACTTTCTCCTGGGACAGCAAGCTGGTTACACTAAATATCCTAGCTTTTTGTGTCTCTGGGATAGCAGGGACAAAACACACCACTGGACTAAAAAAGAATGGCCTAAGAGAAAAAGCATGGAAGTTGGGAAAAATAATTTAATTAACAACGCCTTAGTTGAACAAGATAAAATCATTTTTCCTCCATTGCATATCAAGCTGGGCCTTATGAAGCAGTTTGTAAAGGCTTTTGATAAAAACAGATCGTGTTTTAGATATATAGGGGAGAAGATGCCACAGTTAAGTACAAAAAAAATTAAAGCAGGAGTATTTGATGGTCGGCAAATAAGGCAATTTATTAATGACTCTGCCTTCGTGAATACAATGAATGAAACTGAGCAAAAGCCTCGGACTTCATTTGTTGCAGTTTTCAGAAATTTTCCGGGCAAACGCAAAAATGAAAACTATGTTAAACTGGTTGACGACATGCTTATAATTTCAAATCCCTTGGATGTAATATGAGTATTAAGGTGCACTATTTACACAGCCATTTAGATCGTTTTCCTAAAAACTTAGGAGACATGAGTGAGGCGCAAGGTGAAAGATTTCACCAAGATATTAAAACTATGAATGCTTTTTCATTGAATAATTAGCCTAACAAAATTAGTAAAGCAAGTACTATGTCAATTACAGAGTCCTTCAGTCCTCAACATCATATACAGTCAGATGTTACCATTAGTAGATTGCCTGAACAAACTATACCAGGCCATACATCAGAACCCACTGCAGTAGTTACTTTAATTTTACTCGTGGATTTAAAATGTTCTTCCATATATACCAAAGAATTAAAGATCATTACAGAATCCAAATCACATAATACTGCTGTCATTTCACTATTGAGATGTACAACAGAGAACAATACAAGTTGTTAATATTGTCTCCAACAGATTTTGTGGAAAACATACAAGCAAAAATATATATAAAAATATTTTGAAAATTTTAAAAAATGCAAGAATTTTCATTAGAAATAATTGAAATACAATTAATTTTAAAGTTGTATCACATACTTCAGCCTTTTTCTTATTAATATACATAAGTCTTTTCTATATATTCTTTTGAATCGAATATTTGCATGAACTATCTAAACAAATCAGCATTGATGTGTTTAGATAATTCATAACTTTAATTACCATTAATTATCAATTTTTTGAAAGTTATCAACATCGTTTTCCCAAATTCTTAACAGCAATTTCAATAATTCGCTTACAAATTTATTTTTTATAATTTTATAGAAGATAAATAAGAAAAATAGTGGAAAAAAAGCTGAATTTTTTTTTGCCATTAATAATAACTATTTTTGAAATTGTTAAATAATTTCCGTTATTTTAACAACATGTTTGTTTCAAATGTAAAGATTATTTTAAAAATTACCCCTCATTTGGATAGGCCATTTCATATAACTTTCTTCCGAAAGCCTAAAAATTTGTTATAGAAACATAATTAATAATATATATTAATACTACATTTAAACAACTTTTTGCACAAAAAAAAATCAGTTAAGTTAAAATGAAAACCTCGCCATTTTCAGGGGCTTCACCATTTCCAGTTGTACTTGCAACAAAAAGTATGCATTTTTCATTTTCTAAATCTTCTAACTTATATTGATCCATGCAAATTACTCTTGAGTTAAAAGCATTAAGAAATATTTCATGTAAAGTATGCGCGAATGATTCTGCTCTTCCTGATTGGCTTGCATATAAAATAGTAACTTTGTGACGTTTAGCGACAATATTACTCATCATTGTAGTAGCCATCTTGATAAAACTAACCAAAAAAAATAGGTATAAATAGATGAATTGATATTTTATTGTTGGACAAGATTAACAAAAAGATCAAAATTTTAAAAAAAGATAAAAATTCAAAATTAGCTTCCGCAAAAAAAAAAAAAAAAAAAATTGTGAAACATACATGGCAGATTTTTTAAAAAGGTGTTTCTTGTTACTATGAGAAGTATTCCATACATCAGGATCAGCTTGATATTCAAAAGATGGATTAAGTTTGTAATTAAGCATTTCCTAAACAAGTTTTTATTTTAAGCATTAAATTCAAATGCATTTAAATGTGGATGAGTATATCTGTTATACAAATCATAATATAAATTTTTTTTGAGAGATCATCAATTTTTTCAATAATTTTTTATTAATCATTAGCACTCTATTTGCAACCAATTATTATATAATATTATTTCTCAACATATAAAAAATGCATATATTTGCAACAAAATTAAATATTTACAACTAGCTTATATTATTTGCAACTACATTTTAAAAAAACATAATTTTGTTTGCTTCAAATTCATTATAGTTCACTTTTCCATAAAACTAATCTTATTTAAAATCTAATGTGAACAAATTATCAGCAGTTTGACTAGGAATAACCTATTATTTGGAGCAATAAAAAATTAATTGAAAAATTATAAACTTCATTAAATGTTTAAACTTTCTGTAAATATTCTACAACTTAATGCAAAATTGTTCACATTCATAAGTTAAATAACAGATATAAAATTTTAGTTATAATAATAAAATTCGTAAAAAAACAGTTTTAATAAAAGTTTACAAACAATGTACTAGTTACTCATATTACCTGATGAAACACTGGACATACAGATCCAGAAAGCGGAGGAACTATCCACACCCAATCAGATGGGCAACCACCACGCAATTTATTCTAAAAGTGTTGAAAAACTTTTAATTTTAATAAAACAACTTTTAATTTTATTAAAGATTTTTAATATCAAATTTTTATTTATTTTCAAACTTGAAGAACCTCTTGATGAAGATGTTTTATAAAAGATTCAGCTACACTGTGATGATCCACTAAAGTCACACCTGCTGCCTGAAAAAAAAAGATAAAAATAACATTATTAAATTATACTAATACTAAATAAATCTTTTGAACTCTTTTAAATATATCACTATTATCAGCTAACTGCATGTTTTCCATAAATCCATTTTTTGATTCTATATTTTACTTGGTTTGATTTAAAATTTTTTTTACTGTAAAACTCATTAAACTAAAAATAAAATTAACAGTACTGAAAGCATTTGAGATTTGAAACAAAGTGATAATTTCCTAATATACTTAAATAATTGATAACTATGTTATTTTATGTTTTTCAATACTTGATAACTGTATAAGACAGCAGCTGTGAGTTCTAAGACTGCACGATCTTTCCATAATGACATGTGTGTAGATGTGTTATAGCCCAACAACTCAGCAGTTGGCTAAAAAATTTAAAATAATAATAAAAAAATGGAAGTAAAAATTTAAACCAAAACCTAAAATTTCCTAAAGTATAAATTTGAATGTTGCTTTTTTCTAAAAATTTAAAATTTGCTCTTTCTAATTTTGCAATTAAAATGTAAATTAAAATGTACTAATTAATTTTTCCTTATTCCCTACATTAATTTGTTTAAAACACAAAATAAAAAAATAGTAATTCAATATAGTATATATTGAAAGAAGTTAAATAAAGTTGATCATAAACACTTTGTCAAAAGTTAAGGTAAAATATAAGTATGATACACAGTTACTTGTGTATGTTAATGAAAACAGTACTTTTTTGTATTTATATATAAAAGTATAAAGAATTACTTTATACCAATTTTATTTATACATTCTTACAAAATTTACATTCTCGTTAATTATTACTAATTAATACTCAACATTGTTTTGTTTTTTTATTTTATATTTCATGTTAATTTAATGTACTTAATATTCACGAGTGGTTCTCTATGATAAGACCTGAAGGTCTTTTGCCAGTCTCTGCGTACTTTCTCTTTGTTTTTATTTTTATACCTGTATATTTTTTAATACTTTTTTTTATTGTATAATAATTTTTATCAATTTAAGTTATCTTATTGTATAAATTTATTAAATATTTAAAAGAACAACAAAAAAAAACAACAACAAACAAACTGAAAGTCATTAATATGTGTATGAATCCAAAAATTTATTATTATCTTTTTAAATCTTTTAAATTATCAATTTTTTTGGTATTAATAATTTTTAAATTTAAAGTTTTATGAGAACTTCATGATCAAAAACTTAAAAAAAAATGGAGTACATGCTATGTGATTATATATTATGTTAGATATACTGTGCTATAATTATTAGTAATATAAACTTATGATAAAAGTTTGTTTAATATAAAAGTTTACGATGAAATAAAAAATTACTATATATAAGCATATTTACAACATCACTTGCTCATCAATATATAATTGCATTATCAACTTAAATTATCATTGCGCATTGCATAGGACCATATAGGTCACATACAAAGTTTGATTGCTTAGAGCATTACTAGTATACATATTTTGCATTTATAAGTAGTTATTTATTGATTAGCAAAAAGTTGCAAACTTATATTACAGGTCAAATGCTTTATTTTGATATCTACATAGTTTTCTTTAAAAATCTTCTTCCATTCAAAAATAGTGTAACAATAATTTTAGGCATTTATTATGACACTTCATTATAAAGACATTAACATACCTATTTGTGAAGAGTATAGGTTTATCATCATTACAATAATGATACATTTTGCAGTTATAGCTGGGTATATTTGGATGTAATTATTGAAGATACTGCAATTTTAACTTAATTAACTTTTTTTTACTGTCGTATTTTATTGTATTTTTACACTGAAATGTAATCAAAAAACTACTTGTGTTAAATATTGCAACATTTAAAGAATAATTGCTATGCGCATTGAAATAATTTAAAGAATTTTGTTCTAGTATTGAAATTTAAAGAAAATATTTTTTTTATTTTAATTTATATTTTAATTGAAGAAAAATGGGTTAAAAAAATAGAGTTGAGTGTAGAAAAACGAGCTATTATTGTGACATTTTTCTTAAAGTGCAGTCATAGGAGCAATGAATTGTAATGTAATCAGTGTTGTCATTGTTTAAAAAAGCCTAGACTAACACTGAATCATGAAGACAAATTTATCTGTGTTCAAGGTTAAATAAACTGTATTTAAACTGCTCCTGAATTTTGTCAAGAACTAAATTTCATGCAGAAAAATTCTACTTTTATGGTGAAATTTCCAATTGCTGTGATAATTCTTAAAATGCCTGCCATTCTATTACAATAAAAAAATTAAAAAACATTTTTTTAAGCAGTAAAACATTTGTAGCTTTTTGTTAATTTTTTTGTGAAATAAGTAATGTTTATAAATAAGTTAACAAATAAATGGATAGCAAATGTGAAAACCTAAAGGTAATACTTGTCTAAAGAATTTTTCCACAGAGCAACAAATGACGCTTGATATGTATATATTCTTATAATATTAACGTTACAAATATATGTTTGTAACAAGTAAAAAACAAAAATTTGTATTTAAGAAGCAACTTTTTTAATGAATAAACAAATAGCTTGCATAAAAATCAAATACTCTCCTAAGAAGCTGATTAGGGGAGCAGGCTCGCATGGCTTATCATGTTCCAAAAAAAAAATTTTTATTTATACCTAAAATATAACCGTTTCATAAGTAAAAAATATTGAATTTCTTGCTCCTTTAAACTTAAAAGCAAAAATAAAATATATATATATATATATATATAACTGTCCTGTAAGTTACAAATATTGCATTTCTTTTTAATTATACTTAAAAGTGAAAAACAATATACCTGTCCTGTAAGTAAATAATATTCCATTTGTTGCTTATTTATACTTATAACAGAAAAACAATAGACTATACTGTAAATAACAAATATTTCATTTTTTGTTTATATAATCAAGAAAAAGACAGTTATATTGTTTTTTATTTATAAATATTCGTTACTTAGGGAAAATTATATTGTTGCAAAACTAAAGCAGATATTAAATATAATCAAATAAAAAAAACTTATTAAAGCAAAAGAATTTTGCTTTAAAATTAGCAAGTTAAAATTTTGTGGTAGTTAAAAAAGTAACTCCTTTTATTGCTCAATGCTGACCTCTACTCTTTTATAAATATATATTTATATTTTACCTAAAACTTAATTAAATTATAGTTTACTTATTATAGTTGATACATGATTTAATTTGTATATAAAAGCAAAAAGATAACACAAATAATTAATCAAAATTATTATTTTCAAACATATGTTAATCCAATGATAACATGGTATTTGAAATCTCTTTTCTTCACTCAAAAATAATTTACTTAAGCATGGAACTTCTCTTAAGTTTTATAGTATTATGTATGTAATAATGCAAAGAATTTTTAATTTAAAGTTAAAAAAAAAAGTAACATTAATAGTAATTAAAGTATTGTGTCTTTCAGAAACTAAAAAAATAAATTTTAAATAAGAGACTACAAAAAATTTTGAGCATTAGTGTCACTTTGTTAACAAAAAATAACAAACGTTTTATACCTACTCATTAAGCATTAAGCATAAAGAAAATCAAATTTAAAAAAACTCAAAAAATAACCTAACCTTTAATAAATTATATCTATTTTCATCACCAAAATTTCTGACAGCAATTTCTGTGCTCATGTACCTAAATTACCAACTTGATAATTACTTGTTAACTTTAAGGCATAAACTTTATGAAAACAGATTTATAATTCCTTTAATACCTAAATATTTTTTTGGTGAAAAATATGTTTTTTAATTTTACACATCTCAATAAAACTTAGTAGACATTTTATGCAATAACATTGTTATATACTTCTTAAAATTCTATAAATTTTATCAAATATTTTCTATTTAGGAGGTAACAATTCATATTCAAAGTTTTTTTATTTTTGCAGATTGAAAGTTTTTACCATAAAAAAGCACTTGTGATGTGATGCAAATACATCACAAATAGTACTTTTTCTCACAGTGACTTTGTTAGTTAAGGTTCTTTTTTAAAACTATATAAGATTTAAAAGAGAATTGTATAAACAATTTTAAAAATATCATTAGCCTGTATAACTGAAGCTACTTCATAAACCTTTAAGGTCAAAACAGTGAAAGTTTTATTTTTTTATTACTAAAAATTTTAAAAACAGTATTCATATCTGAAATCTCAACGACATTCAAAATTTAATTTACATTTAAGTTTTGACTATTTTTAAATATTTACTTTATTAGATGAGTAAATGTGATGAGTAAATGTATACAGCTTTGACTATAAATGAGAATTCCAGAGGTCAAGGGGTCTATATAATATTTTAGAGAACCCCAGAGGACAAGGAGTTTACTTTTAAAAAATTGAGTTGGGCGCATGAATAAAATGGATCCAAATGATTGTTTTCACAGACACAGATAACTAGTGTGTAGTTGGAACATTAGACCAAAATGTAACAAATATGCACACCATCAATTTTTATTCATTCATAAAATCATAACCTAATGTTGTAAATACATACTATTATATCACTAATGCTGATTTTTTTACACTTGATCTCTGAGATCTTATATATTATTTAATTTATAAGTTACTATCAAAAAATTTCTGCAATGCAGATGTATAATTTTTTTTTATTACTGTTGGATTAGTATAGACACACCAAGTTAATTTTTAGTTGTTTTATAAAACTTTCGATTTAATTAGTAATGAATTTTTTTTTGGTTATATTTGGTGCAGGTAATCTGTGGTCTTTGAAATATAGCAATGAAAGCCCACAGAGAAACATAAAACAACTCTATTAAAAAAACTTTTTATATAAAGAATGATAAGTAATAAAAACAAAGAATAACAAACAGATGTTCAAAACACAGATTTATTTTGAAAAGAAAAAGCTTATATACAAACTATAGTCAAAAATAATGCTATTGTTAAAGTATACCTAAAACAAAACAGAACATAAGTAACCATAAATCTTCTTAAAATACAAAAGTTTAACTTACTTTAAACAATATATGTGTATACAGAAATATATTAATATTTAAAATGAATAGATGTAAAATAATAGGAGGCATAAGATGAAGAAAAAACATTGCTTATGTGTAATCATAATTTATGTAGTGGTAGTAATAAACTTCTTCCTAGAATCGCTAGTTGATGTTTTTTTTAATTATTTATGCAACACAACGATCGCAACAAGTAACCAATGGAGCCATCCAGTTACGAACACCTGGGAGATTTGATAATAAAATCAGATGTAGATGATATCATTGGGTAAAAACCATAAATAAATGTAAAGACTATTTAGTAGGGAGGAATAAAATTTTACGACTCAGTAAGTGGAGGAACCATATCTCACGCTCTAGTCATCTTTAGCAAATGATAAAACAATGGTAAAAAAATTTCATAAGATTAATACAGTAGATGTATTTTTTGAAAAATTAATCCACATGAGTATGATTTTCAGTTTTTGTACTTAAGTATTTATTATAAAATGTAAATGTTGATGTTTATGTAAAATAGTTTATGTAAACTTGGGTGTTGATATAATTAATTATATCAACAAACAAGATTACATAAACTATTAATAAATTATTATAAATAATTTTTTTTTCAATTTTATAATTTGGTTTTTTCACATTGCTGTTGATTTTCAGTTTTCAAAAGTAATCATATTTTTAAAAAATTTAATTTTAAAAATCAGCTAAAAAAATCCAAAAGATTACATAAAAAACAAAATACCTACCATCCATTAAATGGAACAGCAGTAAAGGTCAAACCTCCACAGTTTAAAGCCATGTTACTTACTGCAGGAACAGCATACCATCGTAAACCCAACTCATCTAATTTTGTATGTCTAATAAAATAACCAATGTTTTGAATAAATACAGTTTGTTCATAAAACTTTACTTTTAATTTTATATAACTAAACTATATTGATTTATAAGAAATTTTTCTATTCAAATTTAAGACCAATTAAAATTTATATAAAGTATATGTTCCCCAAATCTTGTTTATTTTTGTAAATTTTAGTATTTAAACAATTTGCTTAATTAGTAAAAAAAGTTTAAAAAAAAATTTAGCAAGAAAATTATTTAAAAAGAGTTAGCAAGAAAATTATTTTATTTAGTTATTCTTTGAGAACTACAAAAAACATAAAATAAACTTCAATTTGATATATTAAAAGCATCTTCAGTAGGTTTAGGTCACCACTGTCCTTACTTAAATTTCTATCAATTTTAATATATGTATATGTATATGTATGTATATATATATATATATATATATATATATATATATATATATATATATATATATATATATATATATATATATATATATATATAAATATATATAAATGAAGTTTATTTTATGTTTTTTAATAAATAAATAAATATAAATATATATATATATATATATATATATATATATATATATATATATATATATATATATATATATATATATATATATATATATACAAACATACACACACAAACACATCTGTATAAATGTTGTAATTATAATGTTGTATTTATAATAATACTAACTAGATTATTGACTTACTCTGAGGAATGTTGATCTTTTTGATTACAGTTTTTTACCACACTTTTTTTTATATTAACAAACAAGTCTGTAGAAACAGTCTAAAGAATATTATTCATTAGACTATTTTCAACAGTTTTTACTCTTTTGTTAATGCTGTATTGTTGTATTGCAAACTTGTTTATGTTTAAAAGCGAATAATATTTTTCACAAAAATAAATAACATTAAGTCTCCATTAACTTACAAAAACATAAAACGCTATATATGTTTTATTTTTGTTCCAAGATTTCAGTAAAAACGGGGGTAAGCTAAGATGTTAATAATAACAACTCAAGATTATTTTTTAAAAAAGTTTATATATTTGTATTTTAAATAGAGAATTATTATATTGTAGGTTTATATAATTTTTTATGAAGTCAAGAAACTTATAGTCTTTAACATTTAAGGAAAAATACATTATTGTAATACACTATTCAAATAATTTCCACAAGTTAAAAATCTAGAAATGTTATACCATTTATACAATTTTGTAGCATATTTGGCACCCTGATATTTTCAACTTTTTTTTTCGTTTGCTTGAAAAACTATATTCCGTAAAGTTGTTCGGCAAAGCGCTATTATATTATATATAATATAAACAGAGTTAGCAGAATCATGTATTAAATTTGCATTTTTGCGGTTTTTTAAAAAAGTGTTTAAATTACACTGTTGCTCGTGCAACGCTTCCATTGCTTTAATTTTTTTATTAAAGTCACGATAGTGATTTCTGATTGGTTGATTTTTTTTTTCTTTTATTTAAAGAATGCTTGCCCAAACCAAAAACCTTAATTGATTTATGTACACTCACTGTGCCTATCCCTAAATTAGTGGATGTGTGTACACTCACTGAGCATATCCCTAAATCAGTCGATGTATGTACAATCACTGCGCCTATCCCTATATCAGTCGATGTTTGTAAATGAAACATAAATCTAACCTTCAATATACAACAATAATAATAACTTTCAATAAAAAAATTGTTAAAAAACATTGAAAAACATTTTTCAGAATGTAGGACTCGATCCTGGAACTTCATGAGTAACAAACAATTAGGATACCACAATGCTAAACACACATGTTATAGTAGCAATTCTTTTTAAATTTTTACAAATAAAACTTTCAAAATCCATCAATTATTTTCGCAGCCATAACTTTAATTAAACCAATTAAACTTTACTACTATGACTTTAAGATAAATTAAAGCAAATTTATGGAAACCATATATCAAATCCATTGCAAAATTAGCGTCTGCTAAGGTTGCATCTCTTTATCAAGCGCGACACTTTCTACTCCGGATTCAATGCTCTATCTCTATAAATCTCAATTCCAGCCTTGTATGGAATACTGTTGCCATATCTGGGGCGGATCTTCTCATGATGCCCTTTCTCCTTTAGACAAGGTGCACAAACACGTTGTAAACATAGTTGGACCTGCTCATGCAGCCAACCTTTAACCATTATCACATCATCGTAGTGTTGCTTCTCTTTCTATTTTCTACAAATACTATAACAGGCACTGGTCTAAAGACCTAGTGTCTTATCTGCTATCTATTAAAATTCATTCTCGTGTTACTCGTCATTCAATTAAGTCTTATTCCTCTAGCTTTTTTTTTCGAACATCAGTTCTTTGGAATTTGCTTCCTTCATCTTGCTTTCCTGATTCATACAATTTGCAATATTTTAAGTCGTCTGTCAATCGTTATCTTGCTCTACAATCTTCATCCTTTCTCTTCCAGTAACTTCCACTTCTACTTAGTGGTTGCTTGCAGCCTTGTTGGAAGTGAAGATATTTAAAAAAAAATGTATATATATATTAGGGTGTTGACTTTTCGGTAAATTTTTAGTATCTCTTGTTTCCAATATAACAAACAGATGAACTTTGGTTTGAAAGTAACTGAAAAGTCATTGGTTTTATTTAATTTTTGAAAAAGGTCACCCACAATTATCTTGATTACACACTGGCTCCCATATATCAGTGAAATTTCTTATTTCTTTTTAGTCTTTTTAAAAAAAAAAAATTTATTGCAATGCTTTTTGAAAGACACGGTTGTTGCAAAGCAAGAAAAAAAAAATATCTAAAATTAAAAAAAAGTGCTGATTTAAATGCAAATATTTTTATTTAGATTGGACTATTTGATAAATATAAAATTAATTAACTGATGCAAAACAAAATTGATTTATATATTTTTATTTCAACATATTAACTTTTATTGTGAAATTTTTATTATTGTGATAACTGTTGTTGTTCTTATTAAAATGTTTTAGTACTTATTAAAACTTATTGTTGTCGTACATATTATTGTGAAAATTGTTGTAGTACTTATTAAAATGTCTACATTATATTAAAATAAGAAAATATAAAACATTTTTTTATAAGCAGTAAAAGCTTTTTTAACTCTTTATCAAATTTTTTATCAAATAAGTAAATAAATAGCTAGAGTAAAAACTTAAATACAATGCTCGTCTAAAGAATTTTTTACGCTACAAACATGTGCTTGTAACATGTATAAAACTAAATTTTGTTTTTAATAAACAATTTTTTAATGAATAAGCAAATAGCTCATGCAAAATTTAATAGGTCTTGTAAGAAGCTGTTAGTGGAGCAGCTTGCATTTATAAATTACAGAAAGATAAAATATATTATGAAAATTTTATGTTGTATAAATATGTTTTTTAGATTATTAGAAATAGTAATACTAATTACATTGGATGTTGAATATTAACTTCAAGAATATATTCTTTTGGGATTTCAAAACAATGCACTTCAGTACTATTAGCTTGAACAATTAAAGGAAGTATGTCAAACATTGTTCCTTCACCAACCCAGCCCAAGCTCTGAGCAATCTTAAAAAAAATAAACATTTTAAATCACATATGAAACAACTATAAAATAAACATTAAAACAACATTAAAGCTAAATAGTTATCTTTTTCTTTAAAATAAAATCTTACTTTAGTAATTTCAATACTAGATGGATCTCCAATAACTTTTCCATCATCCTGCCGATAACCAGCATACCTAATTAACTGTGAATTCCAGATACGAAAACCTTCTTGGTTCTTTTTTTTATGAGGAAAAACTGAAATTGCAGACCTTTAAGACAAAAGAAATTTATCTTTTAGACTCATACTAACATAATAATTAAACTTTAACATTTGAATAAAACTAATAACTAATTTAAACAATGATTAATCAAAATGGCTAAAAAAATCATAAATAAAAATAAAACTGTAACTATTGTACTGTTGTATATTTATAATCAAAGTCAAAGTAACAAAATTTTTTAAATAAAACCATAGTAACAAAAGCAATAGTAACAAAAAGTATAATACCAAATTAAGCAATAAAAAAAAAAATAATTCGCCAAAAAACCAGCTTATGTTAAATTTAATAAAAGCACCTGTTTAAACAAAACCTGTTAATAATTAAAACAACCTGTTATTATTTAAAGAAGTTATTACAAAAATTCATAATTGTTATAATTTTAATTTTAAATACATTTGCAGCTTAATTACATCTATAACAAAAATCTATAAACAAATTGAAACTAAAAATGAAAAAAAATTAAAAAGTATATATATATATATATATATATGTATATATATATATATATATATATATATATATATATATATATATATATATATATATATATATATATATATATATATATACACACATATACTGTCCATAAATTTATTAAGTCTAAAGTTATTTTAAAAACAGAAGTAGGAGATCTTGAGCTCTTTAACGCAGCAATTTTCATTAAACTTAACAATATTATATAAGCTATTTTGATTTTTGATTTAACTTAATGCTCTGCAAGGGAAAACTTTTTTAATGGTGAAATTTAGAATTGCATAATTTAATCTAATCAAATAATAAATTGTTTAAGGAATTACAACTTCAGTTATTACTCAACCAATACAATATATTAAACAAAAAGAAAAAGAAAAGATTACGTAAGAGTAAATCTCAAGAATCATTAGAAACATGTAAAAAGCTAACAAATTGGCAAATAATTAACCAATGCGCCTGCTTGACATCAGACTGTAAAAATGTGAAAAGACAAATAAAGAAAATTTCAGAATAATGTTCAGAACTATTGGCTAATTTGAATTCTCCAACAATAGACAAAAGATCAGTCCCAAGAATAATGGAAAAATTGATAAAAAAGATAAAAATAGAAATCAAAAAAACAGATTTGATGGTATAACAAAAGAGGATAGACTTTAGGTGCATTCTGAAAATGAAATTTTTTATTTAAAGCACTTAGACACATCTGGTAAAGTGGGATATACAACAATGAAGCCTGATAATCCAGAAAAATGCATCCTTCAAAAAAAATTAAAACTGGAAATCTTCTATCTATGCTATCAACTTCAATTCTGAATGAATACAGAGAGGAACAAGAAAGTAGTAATGAGTCATTAAGTGAAAGTGGCAGTGATTATGAACCTTCAATACATATTAGTAAACAAAAAATTAAACAGAGAGCAGTCAAGGTTGTTAAATTGGTTTGTCAAGCGAAACTAAGTACACAAAAAGCTACCAAGATGTTTATACAACTTCAGATGATTGGTGTCGATCTTTCTGCATCAACTCAACCAGCAATCTATATACCAGTCATCAGAGAAGGTAAAAAGTTACAAGATAAATTGAGAAAAGAACTGAAGGTCAAGAATTGGTGTTTGCATTTTGATGAAAAAAAGATAGCTGGGACAGAACATCAAGCAGTTGTGATAAAGAACAATAAAAAAGATGTTAGGTTAAAGCCAATGGTATTGTAGAATAGAAAGTCTGAGACAACTTTGAAGGACTTCGAAAACTTTTGAACGAATATGTTTATGGGGATATAAAATATATGATTATCAATATAATTACGGGGATATATAAAAATGATTGTGAAATTACAAATACTAACACTGAGAAAACAAGTGGAATGATACAGTGATTAATTACACTGAAAATGTTGGCTTTTAGAAACTTATCTATGTTGGTTGTCAACACCATTTATTAGATCATGATACAGCAATTAATGACATTGAAAGTGTTGGCTTTCAAAAACCTCTTTATGTTGGTTGTCAACACCATATATTAGATCGATTATTAAAGTTATGTCTGGATAACTTTTTTAAGGTAAGACTAATTCATCTGAACTGTTATATTATTTTGTTGAAACAATACATAATAAATATGACTATTTAGCATTGAACTTTGACAATAGTGGTATTCAACTGAAGGAGAATGAACTGAAAGTGAGAGATGAAATGCATTTTTTGAAGCATCTGATTAAGTAGTGAAATACTTTTAGAATGAAAAGAAATTACCTAAGGTTAATTTTATAATTTTACCAAATATTAGCCAATCTAGATGGAATTCCCCAGCAATTTATTTACTACTTGCTTACATACCAATATCTTTCAGACAGACAATGACTTAAGATGGCAGTTAACCTTATTGCTGAGAAATTGGCAGATATCTGGTTTTCAAACCAAATGTCTATCCCTAAAAAGGGTAAAGAATTGGAGGAAGCCATTTTGATCATCTAAAGGGTATCAATACATTCACAAAGTTTTGGTGATGTTCCTTTGACTATAAATGCACAAAAATCCAACATTTTGCCAAACAAGGAGTAAAAGGTTTATAAGATATCAAGATTGTTTGTAAATCTGAAGAAACTATTTATTAAGAAATCACAATTAAAGTAAATCCAATCCTTTTTATTTAATGTAGTTTTATCAATGTAGTTGTTTAAGCATTTTGATGTTTTGCTTATTTTATCAATATAGCTTTATTTATGGTTATGTTCTTTATAAGAACATAAAGAAATTTCAGATTTATTACCTAATATTTCCCTTGTTTGTTGCAAATCGAAGATGTTGCAAACAGCACTCAATCATTTGTTGTGCAGTAGTTACATGGCGACAATCAAACACCTAGAAAGGACAAAAAAATGGCAGAATCTATTATTTTAAAGTTGTATTTAGCAATTTGTTAAAAGTTTAGTCATGTTTAGGGTTTCCAGTTAGAACTTTTTTTTAAAAGTTTTTACCTGAACATGTTCAAACTATAATGGAAAAAAGTTCGAACTATTTCAAAGTTTATTTTAGTTAAAACACACAAAAGTAATGCAAAAAAAAAGTATTTATTTTTTTATTTCGCTTCTGCAAACTACTATTTTGGAAATATTTAAAAGTTATACAATCTGTTTAGCTGCAGCCCTGTTTGTTGCAAAAGTTTTGTCATTTAAAGAACTTCTTATTTTATTAGCAAAAAGTCTGAGGCTAAAAAAAGCTCTCTCCGCTTCTATGGATAAAGGAAGAGTTCTTTGAAAAGTAAATCTAAATATTGGGACTAGCTTCAATAATTTCTGTTTCTGTTTTATAACAAGGTTTGTTCTGATTTCCTGATAGTTAAGCTTTATTTCAGACTCAATAAAATTTTTGAATGAAAAGTTTGAGTTGCTGAGCTAAATTCATTTCAATTTTGATATTTTATAGGTTTTAAAAATTTAATCAGTTATTCTTTCAGTATTTACTTTCTTGTTAGAGATATTGCCAGATGAAGCAATATTGTCAGTTGAAATAATCGCTGAATGAGATTAGTAGCAAGATTAGTAATCGTCTTTTTTTTAATTTTGTTGCCGAATCGGTTATCTTTATTTGATACATTCGAATTTGACAAGTACTTCACAAGATGAATTAAATGAATGTTTCTTCTTTCAATTATTCTATATTGCGAATAATCATTCTATATTGGTGAAAAATGAGTTTAAGAAGTTAACCAACTTGTAGGTGTACCAATTTTATTAAGTTTTTTTCTTTTTAATTCAATCACAGTTTTAAAATACAAAAAATCAGCACCTCATTTTGAAAGAGTAGAGATGAATAATTTTAGCTGTTTTAATACAACACAAAGTTCATTTATGACATCAAGCTAATTTTTACTTATACAAAAATCAATATTCATATTGTATAAAAGATCGCATTGTATTTTTTATGTTGGGAGAAATAAATCTTTTTTTCTTTTTCTTATTTTTAGTGTCTAAATAAAAATATTGAAAATAACTATTTAATATTTATTTATGTATTTTTATATATCAATCAAAAAAAGAATACATAAAACAACAAATAAAAAAATAATAATATAAACTATTTTAATTAAACATTAAATTATAATTAAAAAGATGTTTTTTTTTGATTTCTCTTATTATAAAAAAAAATTTCAGTTCAAACCTTGTCAAACCATTTTCAAAAATTTTAAATATAATAATCATAATTGTTATAATATAATATTGCAAAATTATTAAACAAATAGATAAAATATAAACTGAAACAAACAAAAAACACACAAAAAAAAATTGACAAAACAAAAGAATACACAACAAAAAAAACACAACAATAAACAAAACATTTAATGTAGTAAACAGAGCTGTGGAGTTAGACTCAGAGTTGCAATATTTTTAGCGGAGTTGGAGTCACTAAACAAAATTGAGACTCTGACTCCAATAGTAAAACTTTATTGTATTGTATGTGCATGTATAAAATTTTTAATCTTCAAAGAACTTGTCATATATTTTGCAAAAAAATATAAATTACAAGATAATTTTCAATTATCTCTTAATTTTTTTTTAAGAATTCCAAAAATTTTTCGAAAATTTTGCTTTAGAGTCAGAGTCAGAGTTAGAGTCATATTCTGAAAAATTCAATAATTGGAGTCGGAGTCAGTACTTTTTTTTATAGGACTCCCCACCCCTAGTAATAAAGTAAACTAACAACAATAAATGTTAACAAAAGTAGTACCAATAAAAACACTTTTTTTATCTTTTCTATACTTTCCTTTTTATTTATTTGTTTTATTTTATCTGTCTTTATATTCATATATTTTTACACATTTTTTTTTTGTGAAAGTGTGTGAAAATAAAACTTTCATTAAGTTTCAAAATAAGAAAAACATTGCCATTGTAAATAGCACTTGCCATTGCGACAGTTGCTTTTTACATAACTATTGAAGTTATTGCAGCAAATTTATCTCTTAACCTAAGTCAATTCTCTTAACTCTTAACTTTAAGTCAACTCATAGCTATTACAAAGTTTTGTAATTATTGTTGTGTATTAAAAGGAACATATACTATTACAGAGATTATTATTGCTTTAAGCTAATATATATTGTTTTTTTACAGAAGTAAACTCATCAAATGTAAGATTAAATTTACATTTATCGTTAAGTTCATTTTCAAGAACCTTAGAACTTATTTCTTGACTAACCTAAAGTATTTAATGACATGATTGGAAACGGTTCGAGGACTTCAATGGATTTGGAATCCCTGAGCTCGAAATGCTGATTGCAAAGTTTCACTTCTAGCAATGGTGTGAAAGCTGATTCCATCAATTGCTGATAGTCGACTTAAAATTTCAGGTAGAGCTTTATATTTATCTTTGAAAAAGCTTTTAACTTGCAGTATTTTAGCAGCAGAATTGTTTGCTGCAGCCTTAGGCGCAGTGTTATTGCATTTAAGAATTTAAATTTTGTTTTTAGTTTTTAGCTGTTCTTGTTGAGTTCTATACCATTTGTTTACATTACAAAAATTAAGAGTAATGAAAACTGTCTTAAAAAGTCACAGTTTAAAAAAATATTTTTAACTGTTGAAAAATGATTATAAAAAACCTTATTTTAATATATATACATGTTTGAATTTTTAGAGAAAAAAGATTTGAACTCGAACCTCTTTAAAAATGGCAAAAGTTGTAACACTCGAACCTGAACATGTTCGAACTGGAAGCCGAAGTTATTTTATGATAATTGTATCATGCTAATTTAATAAACAAAAACACAAAAACACAAAAAATTATAGATATTAACATAGAAGGTTTAATAAAAATTACACGGTATGATAAAAGCTAATATAATAGTAACAATAATAATAAAAAGAAAAATATAACATAAGGTTAATATAAATGCTAAAACAATATATAAAAAGAGAAAAACTAAATAAAAATATACAAAATAAAAATATTTACAAGTTATAACAAACAATGTTAAATTAATAAATATTACAAGTAAAAAAGAATAAGCAAAACGTTGCTAAAAATGTGTTAAGGTTGATAAAACATATGTGTTGCTATAAATGTGTTAATATTGATATGATTATAATCCTACTATAAATTTTTTTATGTTTGTTTTTATAATATTAGAGGCTTGATGTTTGATGTTGTTTAATGATGATGCTTAAAGGTTTTGAACCACCCTTAAACATAACTTTATAACCTAAGTTTTGAAATCAAGTATCATTTTATTATAAAAAACACAATTAGGGGATGAGTTACTTGCCCTAATGCCCCACTTGTATTATTTTAAAGATAGCATTCTAGAAAAACAGGCTTTGTCAACAGGATACTATAACTTTTGAGTGGAGGTTGATTGGATATAGATTTACATGGTAATAAATTATTTTTTGTTTTGCAATGATTATATTATATAACATAAATGAATACAGCTAGTTTATATCAAATCCATATTAACCTATCATGGAAGTGCATTTTTTGAAAATTCTGTAGATCAAGTTGGTATCCTTGCAAAAACTATGCTATATTTTTAAATAGTTATACTATGGACCAGTTTTAAAATGATTCTAATCAGCCATTTAGATTACACTTTTATTTATAAGCGATCCAAACAAGTTATTGAAACAACAATAAACCCAATGAAAAACTGTTAATAAAAACTGATGAAAATAGAGGAATAACTTTTTTTTTAAATGATGATCAAAATTGAATAAAAAGTTTGGAGATAATAAATTTTTGTTTGATTATGTTATGAAGTGTATTTGGTAATAATTGGTTTACTGAAGAAAATGAAAAAATACTTTTTGAGTTTGATGGTAACGAAAATGCAACAAAATAATGTGATTTAAAAAATCTTTCTGCAAATCAAACAATCTTTTAAAGCGATATCTAATTGAGATTCCATCAAAACCAATTTGTGACAAAAAGTTGATTACAAGTTTTCTGTGAGGAAATTGCTGCACTTATGCACTTAAAAATCATCTATCCATTAAAAAAGAAGATGTTATTGGCACTATCAAATTTATTTCTACATTTGTAAAGTTATTGGGAATATTGTAATGTGAATTTTGGGAAGTTTGTAATGTGAAAGGTTTTGGAGCAAATATTCATTATAAAGAGTATCACGCAGCTATATGTTTGCACACAAATAAAAATCTCCTATTCTTATTAAATGTGACAGATATAGTTAAAAGTATGAAAAATTCAGACCTAAAATGTGATAAGCTTAAAATGTGAAAGATACTTCTGAATGTACTTCTTATGGCTGTAGGGAGTTAGTCAACATTAAAAGGTATCTTTTGGATTGTAGAATTGACTATGTTACCCTGAGGTGGTTCATGACTGATCTCTTTGACTGATCTTTTAGCAAGCTTCTGGAGGAATATTATGAGATTTTATTACTGCTCAATCTGTCAAAGAAAAAGTTGGAATCCAACAAGCAAAATTGTCTTAAAAGTTAAAAATAGACAGTCTTGATGATTGTACAAATGATTATTCCTGTAACACATTTTTTTAATAATTAATTTTAAAGTTTAAATGAGGACGAGCGCAAAATTTATATAACTAGGATATAGTTCATGGAGAACCCTTACTTTTAATTTTATATATTGCTGGTTAAGGAAATCCTTTGAATAAAGGATGTCTTTTTATTCGTTTAAACAATAATGTTCAGTGGTACATACTTTGTACCACTTATCAGATGAAACTTGTCAAATGTTTATGTAGAAATTACTATCTGCATTGAAAAAGTTACACTCTGGTATTGATGACCAACATTACTGCAATTTAGCGAACAAATTTCTTAAAAATCTAGTGATAAGAAAACTTTCATGATGCTTCAAGAAGTCTACGAAAAAAGAACTAGGATTAACATACAATACTACATAACAAAATAAAATAAGAAACCTTATTTTATTTTGTTATGTAGTATTTCATAGTTTTAATGATAAGTCACTAGCAATTTTGTTAGCATGGTACACATGAAAATATTAGTCTTGAGTCAACATATATAGTGTAGAACAACTATATAGTAATAAATATTTTTTGTATGAATATAAAGAATATAGAGACTGATAATATAACTAGATGCAACATATTTGAATATTAAATAATTTTTATAATTTTTAAATATTTGTGAAAAATTTACATGCAACTTTTTCCAGTGAATTCTTCCAATACAACGTGATGCATTTCTCCAAGCAAGACGAGCTCCAAATATCAGTTCTTTTTCTGTTAATTCATAAGAGTCATATGTGTCTATTTCTTGTAATACCTCAGTGATTCGTTGTGTATGTTGTATTGTATTCAAGCTAAATATAAATTAAAAATGGATTAAATTTTTATATTAAGTTAAAGATTCATGTGTTGTTATAACAAATTTTTTTTTTATATTTTACTGTTTTTTTTTTTTAATTTTTTTTCTTTTCTTGCTTTCGTTTCTTAATTAAAACATTAACATATCAAAATTTTGAAAATGCAAAAATTTTATTACTTAAACAAAGAATGAAGACAATTTTCTAGATGACCACAAAAAATTTCCCATAATTTAATTCAAAATTTAATTAACATTCAAAATTTAATTAACATTCAAAGTTTAATTAACATTTCCCTTAATATACTTAGTTAAAATAATTATTTTGCATAACAAACTTGGTTTAAATAATAAACTTGATTAATATAATTATGAAGTAACAAACCTAGTTAACATAATAAAACTGGTTAACATAATAAAACTGGTTAATATAATAAACTTGGTTAACATAATAAACCTGGTTAACATAATAAACCTGGTTACATAATTAACTTGGTTAACATTAAATTATTTCAAAAACTTTTTCTTTAAATTAAAAATAAGTAACAATAATTTGATACAACAAATGTTTACTATATACATATTTATAGATCTTTAAAAACAAAACAAAAATCAAAAAAATAAGAGTGGTTTAATGCCTTAATTATGATAGCTATGTCCTAATTATTATGGTTATTAAATTTCTAATGAGATTATTTTTTAAAATTTAATGAATAGGGACTGTTTCTTCATAGTAAAAATGTAAAGGACGAAAAATGAATCAATAGCATCTTTTTTATATTCCTCACAAAACAGAATCAGCAAATAAATTTGTAGATGTTGTAGTATTTTATTAGAATTACTTTCAACTACTAGAGAATTTTAAAACTACTGGAAATTTTAAAAACATGATTTTAAAAATATAAACATAAACAAATGTAATTAAACTTGTGAACAAGCTGATCATACTGTTACAATATAATTTATATATTTTTTTCTCTTCGATTTGAAAAATTGTTTAAAAACAAAAAATAAACCCAAACATAAACCCTTAATCAATGTATGTGCGCTCCACTGTTTCTATCCCTATATTAGTCGATGTCTGTGCCTATCTCTATATCAGTTGATACATGTAGGCTACACTGCGCATATTTCTATATAATTCGGTCTTTGTAAATAATAAATTGCAATTTAACTTTCAATAAACAGCAATAATAGTTTAAAAAAATTAAACTAAATACAAAATATAAACATCCAAACAAAAATTTTGAGCTCCCATCACTGTAGCATGAACTAGAGCTTTAGCACTAAGCTAAACATGCAAAAACAATATTAAAGTAATTTTAAAATTCAGGTAACTGTAACTTTTAAAATCAATTATCATGTTGACTACTGTGGTTTTAAATGAACCAATAATACTTTGCTAACATGACTTTGAAATTTTTTATATATATATATATATATATATATATATATATATATATATATATATATATATATATATATATATATATATGTATATATATATATATATATAAACATATATATAGAAACAAAGTCAGCATATTTTTGTTGACCTCAAACACTTTTAGGTTGGCATTGACGCATGCCGAACCTAATTCCAAGGGTTGTAATAACTAACACAAAAACAGTTTTAAAAGTATCGAACTCATTCATTCAAGTTTTAATAATAAAAAACTTTTCTTATAACCCCCATCTCTCTAGATTTGAGCTAATTGAGTGCAATTTTAAGGCTTTTAAAATTAGAAAAAAATGTATTATAAAGAAGAAGAATAAGAAATTAACTTTTATATATAAAAATAGAAAGAAACATCAATTGTTTGAATCTAAATATGCACTACAATAGAGTTTAAAAAGTTGGGTTAAATGCAACGTTCTTTTTTTATTGGGTTAAATTAGTTGGGTTAAATGCAACGTTCTTTTTTTAAATATTAACCACTGCTAATGACTGTTTGAGTAATTTATTTATAACATATGTATATATATATATATATATATATATATATATATATATATATATATATATATATATATATATATATATGTATATATATATGTATATGTATATATATATATATATATATATATATATATATATATATATATATATATATATATATATATATATATATATATATATATATAGTTGCAATTGTATGGAAGGAAAAAATGATTCTTTTGACAAAAATACATCACTTTTAATTACTTTTGACTTTAGTCCAACATTTTTGTGTTGTCATAAAGTTAAAACTATTAATTTAATTGGAAATTATTCACTTTTTTAAAAAGCTGCACTAATGCAAATTAATTGACTAGAATAAAAATAATCTGAATGCTTTTAAAACATTCTGAATGTTTTTAAAAATATAAACAATGTTTTTATTTTTATTTTTTTTAAATAAAATCTTTTTATTTTTATTTTTTTACTGCAAATCATGCGCAGAGCGTTGCTACATCAATTTTCTTGTTGCCTACTGCTACAAGGAAGTGTTGCCCATCGAATATCTTTTAGTCTGGCTTGCAACTGAGTGTTGCTACATCGACTGAGGTTTTGGTTGGGGCAGGCAATCTATTAAGTAATGAAAAAAAAATTCCAGTCTTGCATTTTTTTTTTTTTTTTTGTGCAACAGCATCTAACATCAAATATGTGAGATCTGATATTTGCTAGTTGCCAGAATCAAAGTGAGATAGTAAAAAAAAATTTCTATGCCTACATGCGGAAACCAATTTGTTTTTTTGTTCAGTAGTGATCCACTATCAAAAGTCATAATAAAATAATTTTCATAAACACACTTTTTTGTTGATGGGTTGTAAAATTGGCATCTTTTTATTATATCCACTTGATTATAAGCATGTTACCTGCGTCTTTATGATTCCAGATTTTTTTGAAAAGTTCTGTCAGATTTCTATAAATAGTTGTATTAATTGATTTAAGGTGGTTTGCAAACTTCAAATCCGTTTTCACTAATACTGATGTAAGACTTTTCCATAAGAGTGGGAACTTCCACATTACCATATTTTTTGATGCGAAGTAGTTTTATATGCAAAATATTTTGATAGACATTGGTTACTTAACTGACTTGTGGTTTTCTTAATGCAGTTGCAGTTTGTTTCATTAGCAGTTTGTGTCATAAGTTTGTTTGCACAAAAATTGTTGCTTGTGTGAATTAATAATTGATTAAAAATTTAGCATGCAATTGTAACCAACTCTTATTGTATTTCTGTTAGAAATTTTTTGGAGCATATGATGTAATGGAAAATGTAAGTTACTTATGTTTAAGATAGGATTTGTTTAATTTTTTTTCTAATTTGTGTCCAATTAAAGCATTTTTACTGAAAAGAGAATTAAATATTTCTTTTTCATTTATTAGTATTAGAAAGATTTAGATTTAAATTATATTAAAAACCAGACAAAGAAAAAAAACAGACCAGACCAAGAAAAAAGCAGACCAGACCAGTAAATATTTCTTTTTCGTTTATTAGAAAGATTTAGATTTAAATTGCATTGGAAATGAGCAGTTTTTTGAAATAATTTATTGCCTAAAGAATAGGAAGATACTCTATTTTTAATTGAGGTTGGTAATTGTTTTAAAATGCTTGGTGGATGAGTGGAACTAGCATGAATATAATTTTATGTACTATCAGGTTTATGGTTAAAAATTGCAGTTGTTAAGATTTGACATAACAGTAATGTAATAAACAATTTTCATATTGAATAGAAATACTGAGATTGTTTTGTTTAAATATTTGAGTAAAATGCTTCCTACTTTTTCCATTTTTGAACCACTTGCATTTTTAAACATGACTATGTCATCTTTTCTACATAATTGGAAATCACTATTAATGATGACTCTTAAACAGAGCAGAGTTGTTTTTCAAACAGTATACAACATATATATATATATATATATATATATATATATATATATATATATATATATATATATATATATATGTATATGCAAAAAAAAAAGTAAAACTATTAAAATTAGCATAAAGAACGCTTTTATGAAAAATTGTAGTTAAAATGGAATTATTAGTTTTAGAGTTTTTGAAAAAGTTTAGATGCTTCTTCTTTTTCCATTATGAAAGAGATCGATTTGTGTCTGGCATTGATGTAATCAAGAAAACTGGAAAAATGAATTTCATAGGGAGATGCTGCAAATATATCCTCAACATATCTTTTATAAAAGTTTGGTATGATTCCATTATATAATTTTAACCACTTTCCTTCAAAATTAGCCATAAAAAGATTTATGAGATCTGATGCAAGTAGTGAACTCATTGTCACTCCATTGATTTGGTCATATAATTGTTCTTTAAAAAGAAAATGTTTTAAGAAATTGCAAAGTGAAATAGTTTAATTAAATCAGCTGTATTAATTTTTTAATTAAAGTAACTATTAAAAATGAAAATTACAACTGTCTATGGTTTTGTGTAACATGATACTGGTAAATAAACTAGACATATCGTACTACATGAAATATGGATGAATGAAATAAGCACTATTGATCTCATTAGCAAATGAAAATATCTCCGTTGTGCAGAAAACAGTAGTGCTACACAAAAGATTTGTTTAGTAATGAGTTGGATTTTTATGAAAAAAATGTTAAAACTTTCAAATGGGAGTGATGTTTACATAATACTTATATAAGAATAGACTATTGGCACAACAATAAAAAACTGAATATAATTATTTTCAGATGATTAGTTAGCTCAATATCAATAATTTAAGAAGCAAAAGTTCATCCTGAGTTTGTGAACATCTGAATTTCTGTTTAAAGTAAATCTATTAATTATAATTTAAAATTTTATTTTATAGATCTACATTTTCTTTTGCAGAAAATTGAAAGATTTGAGGCTTATTTCTGATTTTATTTAATATCAAAATAAGTTTTAAACATAAAAGATACAAACATTTTCAGCTTTTCAAAATGGACTTTTGATGAATAATTTTTTTAAAAACAACCAAACTTTGCCATCAGGTGTTGACTACCCTTTAAAGGCTTTCCTTTGTTTTAAAATACTTATATTAATATTGAATGATACAATAAAAATATTGCAAGGAATGATTAACATTTAAATGTATGAAAAAAAAATTAGAAAAAAAATCTGTGAGAACAAATGAAAAACTATTTAAAAACATTTTATCTACCTTTGCAGTGACTGAAAATACTCCTCAAAAAATTTTAAAGCTTCCTCTTTAAGTTTAAATGTCTCTAAACCTTTATATGTATGCTTATCAGGTATAATAATAGATCCAACACATCGTTTCTCATTGCAATAAGTTTTCTAAATAAAAATTACCAGCTATTATCATTGAAATTTTCTAAATAAAAATCAATTGAAAATTTGATGAAATTTGTGGTTATGATCTTAATAGTTTTAATGTAAAAAAGTTTTAATGTTTTTAAAAGAAAATGTTTTTTTATTGAGGATTTGACTATTTATTTTATCTAGTTTACATTTTACAAAATATCTAAGGATTTAAGCAAACTCAATTAAAAATAAAGTTTGAGTATTTTAAATATTGACTTTATATCAATTAAAAAACTTTTATCAAACGTTTAGCTAATTTTATAATTAAGAAAGCAAGAATATTGTAAAATATGTATTTTTTTGCACTTCATATTCTTTTGTTTTTTAATATTTTTCTTCTTCCTTTTTCAATCTGTACTTTGCACGTCAATTTTGTAACTTACTAAACTTATATAACTTATTTAACAAGATCGTTTGCATAAACGATCTTGTTGCTATGTGAATATCAAGTATGAATTCAAAGTTCAATATTCTTTTACAAACCTCAAAGCTTAAATATATTCTCTTTTCAATTACTTGAAACAGAAAACCATTTTTTATTCTAATCACTTTTCTGTGATTAGAATAAAAAATAGTTAGGGGCAGTTGTTTGTGAATTTTAAATCCAATAAAATTTATTCACTACAACTGTTACAATATTGTTGATATTTCTTTATTGATTAATGACAACACTCTTACTTGTCTGCTATATTAATAAATGGCAACCCTCTTACTGACTCCTCTTCTTTATTTTACCATGGATTATCATTTACTACTTACCTCTCATGGAATTATGGAAACCATTAATGCAATCCATTGCAAAGTTAGCATTTCGTAAGGTTGCCCTTCTTTTTTGAACTCGCTATTTTCTTACTCTTGATTTCATTCTCTACATCTGAAAATCTTTTATTTAATCCAGTATGGAATACTAGTTAAATTTGGGCTGGTTTATAAAATGATGATCTTTCTTCTCTAGACAAGTTCCAAAAACGCATATTTAATGTAATTTAACCTGCTCTATCTACTAGGCTTGAGACACATTTCGATCATTTGAAAGTCACATCTAACTCCCTTAGATGATAGCTCAAAGGAGCTATTATCTTTAGTCTCACCTTTATCTTTCCCTGACTAATACAACCTACAA